ACCTTACATGTGCACTTTGTAATTTTAATTTGTATCGCCCTGTTTTGATCCCTTAGAAAGGGCTGTTGAAGGGGCTGTTTGTGTGACAAAGTATTTTTTTCACCCTTTTATTGATGGACAGTGTTACATTGTGTGAGAGATTATTTTCTCCAAGTGAGAATGTTAGTGTGAAATTGAACACTACAGTAAGCAAATGTTGTTTTCAAAAAAACAAAGCAAGCCGATCCACTTTTCCATGTTGATAAGAGCATTAAAATGAGAAAAAATAATGGGACAAAAAGAAATCGAGGGACATTTAGAATAGATAAAAATGTGCGATTAATTGCGAGTTAACTATGACATTAATGTGATTAATCGTGATTAAATATTTTAACAGCACTAATATGTATAATATGTGTTAACTGTATGAATTTAAATCAGGATGCTGCTTCGATAAGAGCTGTCTGTTTAGTAAACCCCTCCGTGGATAAACGCAGGGTTTGTACAGTACAGTACATATACTGTGTCGCTATGAACAAATTGGTCTTTGCAAAGAATGAAATTGCTGCAGTAGAACCCGTGTGATACAGCTTTGAGATGCATGTGTGTGGTGAAGGTTTGTGTGTTTGGTGAATCGAATGGAGCATCACCAGCGTTTTATTATCACTTAAGCGCCACACCCAAGTTTTTTTTTTCACAGTGCCTTAGCCAAATGAAAAGGAAAGAAAACTATCCTGTGAGTTCTCTACCACGTTTTGCTGACATTTATGGTCACACTAGCTTCTCTGTCCTCGCATAAGGGTGGGGCTCAGCTCCTCCTTTGCGCACACACAAAGTCAAAGTAACATCAGAAAAATTAGAAGAGCGATATTTCCACCTCCTTTCTCCCTAGTTGCTACCGTTTTACACAACCACAGCATGTTGTAAAGCTAATACCGAATTGCTACTGAGAAGCTTAAAGAGAAGCAGTCTGTATGTGCCGTGAATCTTGAAATAAGGCACATTCTTGTGAACTCTACTAGCTGCAACGGTTCACAAATCAGCACTTGATCCTCTCTCTACCAGTGGGAGGCTACCTGCAGGCAGTGAATCACAGCGGCAGAGAGAGGACAGGATGAATGCCTGACTCTGACTGGTGTCTGTGTTCATTTTTTCACTCAATATATTGATGTCAGGAATATGATTTATCTCACTGACATTTATGATTTGTTTCCACTGAGATATCATAAAGTTTATATAGTATCTTTCCTGTTGTAAACTGTTATTGTTGCTGTTCTATAAAGGATATATTTAAAATATAAGTCCAGCCTGTTATTTATGTCCCTGCAATTTAATATTACTCTGTGCCCTGTATGCAACATTTTTGGTCCTTTTGTCAGTCACTTTCATGTTTAAGTAATGAACTGCACTACTTGTGGTTATTAGTGATCGTAACAGACATTTTATACTTGTGCTACAAATTTGTGGCCTGTGCTAAAACTCCCTCTGCTAAAAATGTCAACATACAGCCCTGAAACATCGTGTTCACTAAGAATGTATTTATATCCTGAGAGGCAGGTTTCTGTGCTCCCTGATGAGTGGTATTTGTTCTTCTTTCAGATCCCTCGTAACAACCGTCTGATGTACATCCACAGCTACCAGAGCGTGGTGTGGAACACTATGGTGAGCCGCAGAATCGAAGCCTTTGGTCTCAAGGCTGTGGAGGGGGACCTGGTGCTCAAAGGAAGTTAGTAGTTCACCCTTTTTCACCTGGCTAAGGAATAGTTCCACATTTTTTGGAAATATGCTCATTCTCTTTCGTACCTGGGGAAAAAAAAAAAACGTTGGTTTTGTGGATTTTGTTACCTTTACACTGAGCCAGACTAGCTGTCTACCTCTTTTTGCAGTCTTTATGCTAAGCTAAGCTAATTGTCTGCTAGCTGTAGCTTTGTATTTAAATTGCAGACATAAGGGAGATTTCAATCTTTTTGTCTCATTCCTGGCAAGAAACCAAATGTCAAACTTTTGCTTTAACCAGAGTTTTAAAGAACAGGGATAGACATTTTTCACAACAGCCAGTCTGACATGAAATAGTAGGGTAAACACAGGTGTTACCAATGATACTAATTAAGGTACTATTTAGTATAGCAACGTCTTTCCAGTCAGCCAACGTGCACAATAGCAGCACCCTGACTCAGTTTGACCTAAATGGAACAGAACCTTAATTAGGATCATTGGTAACCCCTGTGTTTACCCTACTGTTTCATGTCAAACTGGCTGCTGGGAAAATTAAAGGTTATCAGAACAATGTCGATTATTTTGCAATTCCACTGTCACCAGAAATTAAAGCAACCCAATAAAAGCATTTTCAAGTTCTCAATATGTTGCTACCCAGATAAGGTCTACAAAAGAAAACCCCAAAAATCTCACAACACAATAAAACTAATATACTAAAGTTGTCTCTGATGTGTTTATAAAGCCACAGCACACGTGCTGTCTGCAGAGGAGGCTGAAAATCGCTCCATCCATGACATTGTGATGCCACTTCCTGGGTTTGATGTCATCTACCCCTCTCATCATGGTAAGAAATGGCTCTGTGTGATTTTAAAGTTAATTTATTTGCATGTTACATGAAAAGATAGCTGTGAAAAATAGCATTGGGTGGTTTTAACACTAATGTATGTGAAAATAACACCCATTCCTCTTAACACACAGGCACCAACCACACACAGCTATATCGGCTTAAGTGGATACAAATGTATATAACTAAACTGCTGATTTAAAAAGCTAAATGAAAGGAATAAAACAGAATTAATATAAGCTTACTACAGAAAAGGAAATTAATGTATACAATAGTTCTGTGTATATAATTATAAGTAGTACAGTCTAGACCCGATCTATATAAGTATCCTTAGATAACTGATGTTAGGATTTGGCGCTTTACAGATAAAATTTAATGAATTACTTGTAATACTTGTGTCTTTCTGTCAGTGGGCAAAGGTTACAGAGAGCTGCTCACCGCAGACGGGTTGGACATCGACAACATGAGACACAAAGTGAAGGACTATTCTCTGGCGGGAGCCTACAGACGCATCATCATCAGACCCAGTGATGTCAGCTGGTTAGAAGCATTGAATACTAGTGTATTATTTCCTAACATGCTGTGGTACTGTTGTACAAAGGCCTTTTTTGGTGTTGTATACCAACTATATTGTTATACAGAGGCTGTTATTGTGCACTGCAGATATTTGACTGCTTTTCTTCTGTAATACTGCAGTTCCTCTAATCACCTCTAATCTGGTGTGTTGTGGTATTTCTGTTTGTTTTTATGCAGGGAGGTGATTCAGTATGATGACCCCAGGATCTCTCTGGTACATAGTGATTTTGAGAAGCTGGAGAACAAACCGGCTCCTGTCTTTAACAAGGGTAAGTTCCTTTAGGATTGTTTTGGTCTGTTGTGGTACACTGGACTAAACTGTGGAGCGAAAGAAAATTAAACACCAACTTTTTTGGATGAGGCAACTTTCTGAACTGTATTGTACCGACTATAATGCATTACCTAACATAGCAGATCAGTTTGAACTAAATGTTTAACGGTGTTTGTCCCTACACATCTTTTCTACATTACTATAAGAGAAAAATGGAGATTATTCTAAAATAGCTGTTACCCATGCAGAATAATTTAAAAGATGAAATTAGTGGTGAAACTACAGCTTTCTTGTGCTGCAAATAGGATCTTTGTTTTAAAATAGTAAGTGGGTTCCTAGATTTTTATTTGTATGTTAAATAGAAAAGCAAAAAAAAAACTAAACCATACAGCAAATATACCAAATAAACATACAGATATAGTAGGTGGGCTGTACCAGAGATGAGTTGTTTGATAACCTTCTTTGCACACATCCTGACACATTATTTATCTCCTCCTCCGACAGAGGGGAAGTATCGGGCTCTGCGGATGGAGTTCTCCCTGCCTCCCTCAACCTACGCTACCATGGCAATCAGAGAGGTCCTCAAGTTGGACACTAGCATCAAGAAACAGACACAGCTCAACACCACTTGGTTCAACTGAGACCTAAACACATTTTGGTATAAAACGGCCTGCTGCTGCAGGCTGCAAAGCACCTGTCCACTGTGGCTACGTACTGTTGTGAGTGTTTTAAGTGTGTTACGTGTGTGCGAATGAGAGCGATTGGGTTCTGTCTGAGCCCAAAGGTAATTTCTTTGAAGTACAAAGAGCAACGATTTATCATTATTCAGCTTTTTTTTTAAAAAAGTAGTGTTTTTACTCGCTCAAATGTGTTTCTTAGCTGCAGTGATTAAGCATATTTTGACAATGATTAAAGCAAACCTTGTTCTTTCAGGGTGTCGCATACATTATTCCTTACTGCACAGGATGCTCAGCATGCCCTCTTTGTATAGAAATTAGTTTGTTTTTTTTATCTTTAAGCTGAATGTGTGAATTGAAAAAACTCGAAGTGAGAAATTAAACATGGCGAGCGTTTAGTATGCAGTGTCTTTGTCTGTTATTAAGACACAAGCAGTGTCAATATGCTGGTGTTTTCTTTGCATATGGAGAGATATTGTTCAATGTACTGATGACGTTTTTTTTTTTTTATCTTTGTTACTGAGAACAATAAGACTGTTAAGAGTTCTGTCCTTCCCACATAAAGGTATTAAGCTACACAATGTGGCCAAGATTACATAATCACTACCTCCCTCTTCTGGTCATCAGAGTTAATTAAGGATCTGAATTGTATTTTGGGCTCTAACCAGTCTGCTGCTGGTCTAAACAGGCTCTGTAGGGCTCACATATGACATATGCCAGCGGGCTTGATACAGCTACAATCTCAAGCTAAATGCAGTTACTAATCATATCATTCACCCTGGGTCCATGTCTGCCCTCCTAGTTTTGGATTATTTCACTTTTTGGTTTTTGTGTTTTGATTCCGTTTGTGGCATCTATAACCTGCTGTACCAAAGCACAACCAAAGACATATTACCATATCATGACAAATAATAAAAATGAACAGACACACAAAAAATAATGGGAGAAAGATTATTTTTACTTTATTTAAACAATTTAGCTTCTGTAGGTCACATTTCATGACAGTTTGATACCCAAACATAAACAAATAATAGTAATCGTTATTATGGTTTTCTATTCTGATCAGCTCGGAAATGCAAATTCACATTCATTGACAAGTAAAGCTTTAGGTGTGTGTGTGTATATATATATATATATATATATACATACATAATGTGTATGTATAGGATCAAAAAACTAAAATGAAAAGTCAGAATCTTGATATAGGCTCAGTTTGCCCTGGATTAGTCTGTGTGGTGCATAGTACTGCTACAGTTTAGAGGCTGTGTGTGAAAATGTAAAACTGTTGGCCTAATCTGACTGCAGAACAAAAGGCCTACAGAGGCAGGTGTAGTTCCCAGTCATTAAGAGGATAAGTTAACATGCGATAAAGTGAATGAGTACAACCACTCAGGCTTTGGGTTTTCATGGTGAGTTCATGCACAACAAGCATACACCATCTAATACGACATAACTGAATTATAGTTGATGTACTACAGAATAACAATATGGAATAATAGGGAGAATTTGTAATGTTTTAAATTGTACCTTAGTGACAAAGGGGTTCTTCTTTGTTAACATGGAGGACAATCTTGACCTTTTAGGGACAGTTTATGTAACAAAATCTAAGCTAAAAGGTCCACTTAGTAGCTAACAACCTGCTGTAAATGTTGGCAGCAAGCTATATTTACCCAGGGAAAGTGCAAAATGTAGAATCAATTGGTTTTAAAAAAAAACAATAGATTTTGAGTGAAATGATTGGTTCCCATTAGCTGCTAAATGTTAACTGACACTAGTGTGTGTGAATATCAATCTATACTGAATATGGAGGACCTTCTCCACTATTTTAAGTCAGGTGCAGGGCACTATTGGCACTATTAGGTGGCACACAGTTGTCATAGAAGAGCTGGAAAGAGCTTCCAACATAAGTTACCCTCTTCAGGAAGTCCTCCAGCTGCGGCACTGTCATCTCTTGAACCTTGTCGTTCTCCCTGTCGTTGAGCCCATTGGCTGCAAATGCAGGGAACTTCGAGCGCTCAGAGTATGGTGCGTTGTGGTCAAAATCAGTACAACAGTAGGCTGACCAGAGGTAGGTGGGGATACCCAGGCGGTTGATGTTGTGGCGGCGGATTGTGTGCCCTGAGGTCGTGACCCCGGTGATCACGTAAGCAGTGCCACGGCAATAGTTGTTGAGCCTCCTCCGGATGGTGTGCTCGTGGTTTTTCCAGGGGCCGATGTTGAACTCTCTGACCTGAGGGACCACGTTAGTCAGTGTGTACGTGGATGCTTTGTCATCAGGGTGGGCCTGGTGCTCGTCTGGATTCAGCTGACCTCGTTCAAAGATTACACTGTCAGAGTAGTCATCAAGCACGGCCTGGGCATCTTCAAAACTCTTCTGGACATATTCTGAAGGGAACTGCTGCATCTCTCTGGAGCCAGACACTGTGGAGAGCTGTCAGGATACAGATAAAAACAAATCTGTCTATACAGTAAATAGATTAAGACTAATCACCAAAGGATATTACCAGAAATTAATTTTTCAACCCTGAGAGGGAAAGACATTAATCCAATATTCAGCCCCTACCTGTGGCTCAAACATCCATGGCACATCAACCTTCTTGGAGCCATCCGAGCGCTTAAAGGTGTACGCAGAATAAACAGGGATGTGGTTGAAGGTGTCATACAGGGTGACAAATCGTGGCTTGCCCTCGTAGAACTGGCAAATCTTTTTGAAAGGCTGCTCCTCAAGCCCTCGAGGCAGTGTGCCCATGTACAGGAACTGTTTACACTCAGGTGAGAGGTTCTCCTGCACTTCTGCTCCTGCCATCACAACGATAAGAAGACAGACAAGCGTTTGATCTGTTCTGTAGACAATCATGACGAAACGTGCAGTATGTCTCCACAGTGCATTTAATCCCTTTGAAACGTCCTGCTGTGTGGACTTGTGCCTCCTCTGTGCTTCATACCATCTCAGGCACATTATGCAAATTCTTATCTTGTTCCCTTTACAAGTAGTCAAACCATTACCATATTTGACAAACCATTAAACAGTGGCTGACACAGGCATAGCAAAGTTCTTTGAGATCTTAAAGGTCCAGCACACCCACGTAAGGGTTTCGAAAAGGCAATATAAGAGACCATTACAGTCATTTAGTATGTTCAAGCATCATTGCACTAATGTCAGATGAACACAGGGGTCACTGTTTCCCATCTGTTCCACAGACTCTTTATAGGGATAATGCGTCCTAAAATCTGTCTGCGTCTGGCGTAGACGAAGGTTAGCAACAGCTTTCTGGTATATATAAAAGTAATGTATAGGATATTTCACAATGTCAATCTGCTCAAGGTAATTAAGATCAAGTTGATGTGTGTTTTTAAGTCCCTGGAACCACTGAGCCTAAAAAACGTTACTCACAATCACAAATATCATCTTCAGGGTTGCGGGAGAAGAAAAATCAGTTGGGAACCATGTATAATAGTGAATGTCTGTACAAACCTTTGTGCAAACGTCAAACAAGTTTACATTTGAAATCCTGCAGAATGTGTTCCCTTGTTGACCGGTCTAACTGCACCAGAATACTGAAGGCTGCTACTACTAGGTACAGTTATACATAGTATAGTATATAGTGGAGCCCACCAAAGACCACTCTAAATACAGTAATTAATACTGTAATAATACTGTAATTGTATCGACTATGCTATAAATACCACATGTTGCAGAAGTTTGTCGATTTATATGGTCTTTCAAAGTCTATCCTGTCATAGAGCCGTTCTCTGTTGGACTAAGCCTGTATTGTTACACTGCAGCGCATCCTTCCCCCTGTTGTTTCCCACTGTGACGCTCAACCTACAGTTACTGCAGTTACTCTGCCTTTCTTTCCCTCTCTGTAAGTGAAGCTCTCTCTCTGTGTGTGTGTGTGTGTGTGTGTGTGTGTGTGTGTGTGTGTATGTGTGTGTCCCACCATGTTGTCGTGAGAGAAAAGACTGGAATGTTTTTGGAAACATAACAACAGGTTGATGGCAGCGCGACCTCTACCCCTCTGGAACCAAACACTTCCTGTTTACTATGAGAACATCTTCACTGTTTACACTGTAACCCCATGTTGACCTATCCAGTGTCTATACCGTCGATCCATACATTCAATATGTAGGCTTAGACATAATGGAAACAGTCCTTAAAAACAAAACTTTGTTATCATCTCTGAAGGTGAAGTCGAGGGGACTGCCTCCACTTTTTGGAAGTAAAAGTTTTATCATTTTATAAAACCAGCTTTGAATGCCTTTTATTATTAAATGTAGTAACATAATGTTATCTCAGGGCACATCAACCATGAAATGCAGATCTGTTTCCTGTCATCTCTCCACTATTATATATTTTAATATATTAGAAATTCCGTGTTTGCTTTGAAAAAGAATTTCTTAACTAAATCAAATTTGTTCAAAATCTAATTTGGATTAGCACACAGACAGACACAAGATCAAACACTTTAGTTTTTTCTTCAAGATTTTTTAGAAGCTGCTGTGGACAAAACCTTTATGAGACAACCAGAAGTCAGTGGAGTCTCCAAACACAGCTAACAGCTAACAGCTTATGCCTACGTAAACTAACCATTTACAGGGAAACTGCTGGGTGTCGCTGCCACTTCTATCATGAGAAAAATTATGTATTATGATAACCATTTAAGTATTACAAAAGTATATGCTGTGGTGGATTGGTTAGACTGGTCAGTAACGTAGTAAATTGATGTTTGATATATTTATTGTCTGCATATCAAAACAATAATTCTGATAAAGTGCCCAATTATAATGGTAACAATAAATAAAAAAATAATAAATGCACTCTTAATTTAAATATTACTAGTACTACTTAAATAATAACTAGTGGTATTTAGACTATGCAACACATAAGCACAACTAAAACAGTCATTTAGAATATTTCTCTACTGTGAATTGGTGGCCTCCTAATTGCATGAGATAACACAGCTGTGGTTCAGGATCTATTTCCATCTGAAAACTGTCTTTTTTTGTGGTTTAAAGGCCTTTTGAATATATTCATGGTGTGAGGGCTGTTAGTTGTTTGTCCTCTGCGTGGGTTGTTACATTTGACCACTGTATACTGAGTGTTTGAACATGTAAGACGCAGAGAAGAAAGAATGTGTTTGTGTTTGCACACATTTGTGTACTTTATGTGCGTTTGGATGTGTTTGCGTCAGAGAATATGAGCAGCCTAAAAGATTTGGGGGGGATCTGTTTGTGTGTCTCGGGTTTGTGTGTGTTTGCAGGGGGGAGGATATGTGGTGTTATTGTGTCTCTCGGGAGGTGTGTGTGTTTGTATTGGGGGGGGGGCTGTTTGCAGGTCCCGTAACTCTCTGCTGGGGTGGTCTGGTTTGAGAACAAGAGAAAGAAAGGTCCTGGGTGTGTGCAAATGTGTGTGTGTGTGTGTGTGTGTGTGTGTGTGTGTGTGTGTGTGTGTGTGTGTGTGTGTGTATAGAGTGCTATATATTTAGACTTAAGAGGAAGGCATACCTTTCTCATCCGGCACAGTACAGATGTAGAGACTGAGAGAGAAAGTGAAATGAGAGAACAAGGACTGAATTTTGCTCCACAGTGATCATTACACAGGATTTTGTCCAAGCTGATGAAGTACCCGAAGGTAAGTGTCTGTTCATCATCATAATTCCTCACAGGACTCGGCCCTCATTTGTGATAGTTTAGGATGCAAACTTTGCATGCAAAATATGCTGTTTGATAAAGGCTTTATCAATTGGCAAATTTACAGTATGAATTCAATGCAGTGTCACAATCTGTTGTCTATTTTTGCATTTTTGAAGAAGAACCTATAAACATTTTTTTTAGATGTGCACACTTCTGATTCTGATTGTCTTGCAGGAATTAAATTATTTAATTTAAATGCTCAGAAAGGCCTAAAATGAGTGTTTTAATTGAAAAAAAGTGTTGTAATTCAAATCAGCTCAAGTCTTTTATTTAATCAGGTAATTTAATAAAATTTATGTATTAAATGCCCAACATTCTTGGGCTGGTTAGTCCTAATTAATTCCGAAAGTAAAGTGTGTAACTTTAATTTGTTGTTGCAAATATTTAAGGATCTTGTTGTGTTTTATTGAATTTTCAGACCATCTAAGTGGACTGAGGAACTTTCTGCTTCTAGACATTGCACTGACCAAACTTCAGCTTGCCAGGAAAGTACTGGAACCTTCAGGGATTTTAATGGCAAATGATTTTATATAGAAACCAAGGACACGGACGCACAGATGACAGACTTCCTCACCTCCCCCTCACCATCTCCCCCTCCCCTCTTCTACTGCGACTACAGCGACTGGTCCCCCTCCTTCTCCATCATCCCATCCGTATACCTGCTGGCCTTCCTGGTAGGTTGTCTCGGCAACGGCCTGGTGCTGTGGGCCTACGTGGACCGAGTCGAGAGGAAGGGAACGGGAGACAATGCTGGAACTGGAAAGCTCTGTTGTGCTGGCATTTTCAGAACCAGTCAGCAGAATATTAACAGTGCTGGTAGATTTCACCACGGGTCATTTGCTCAGAAGAAGAAGGAAAACTGTGGGTATCCCTCAGGACAAAGCTGCAGACCCTCCTCTCACTCCTCCTCCACCTCCTCCTCTTATCCTCCCTCCATCCCTCGTCCCTCACGCTCACTCACAGACTCTCTAATAGCCAGCCTGGCATTAGCTGACCTCTGCTTCCTTGTGACTCTCCCTCTGTGGGCAGTCTACACGGCGATGGGCTACCACTGGCCTTTTGGGCAACCCCTCTGCCAAATCAGCAGCTTCCTCACTGCCCTCAACATGTATGCCAGTGTGTTCAGCCTGAGCATGCTCAGTGTGGAGCGGTACTGGGTTCTGACTGGACGCCGACACTCCAGCCACCATGCCCCCCAGAGCTGCCCCAGCAGGGCTTTGTGGATACTTGGAGGGGTGTGGGTGCTGGCGGGGGTGCTGGCACTTCCTGGTCTTCTGCTGCGCTCCGTGAGGGAGGTGGAGATGGACCCTGAATTTGAGGATGATTGGCAGCTTGAGCCAATTCACCCTACTGACTCTAGATCAGTGTTCCTCTCCTGCCAGATGGACTACTCAATGCTGATTGGAGCAGAGATGGAGGAGGCAGATCGGGAGAGGGCAGAGATGTGGTGGGCAGCCGCCTTGAGTCTTAAATCAACTCTAATAGGCTTCCTGCTTCCTCTTGTCATCTTGCTGGTCTGCTACTGCTCACTGGCCCAGCTCCTCAACAGACATTTTGGACGGGGCCCTCGTCCTGACCGCAAGCGCCAGCGAAGACTCCTCAGGGTCATTGTCACTTTAGTGATGGCCTTCTTCCTGTGCTGGCTGCCTCTGCATGTTAATAAGACTGTTTCCATGCTGCTAGAGTTTGGTTTTGTCCCATACTCCTGCTCTTTAGATCAGATTTTACTGGCTGCTCACCCGTACGTCACCTGTTTAGCTTATCTCAACTCTTGCCTTAACCCTCTTCTGTATGCTGCCTGCGACCCGTCATTCAGGAAGAGATGCAGAGGAGTTCTCCTCATGTTGTGCAGGACGAGCAGGAGAGGAGGAGAGGGAGGGGAAGGAAGGGAGGGAGAGAAAGATGGAGGAGAGGAAGAAAGACAGGAAAGGAGCTCAGCTTTTCCCACAAGAACGCAAGAGGAAACAGCAGATAGGACGGAGGTGGAGAAGATGGGGGAGGTGGGTGGAATGATTTCTGAGGCCACGTGAATCATGGCTTAACACCCAAATAGCTGCTTGAAATGAAAATGAAATCTAATTTTACATTGAGGAACCAGGACATTAAGTCATTTTGTTTGTTGACAGTAAAGCAGCATTGAATGTGATATGTTTTCCAGAGTGTTTTTGGTGTTGTTGAAGACAACGGACTGAATTCCAAAGTGGCCTAAATTTGGACTGAGAAGAAACTGTGTCAGATGTCAATATTTTCAAAATAAACATGTTTTTCAAATGAACATTCATGAGTTCATAGTCATAATTACCTGCTTCCAATCCACATATTTCCCACAGGAAAGATGCCACCACTTCCTAAAATATAGTTGAGCTCAAACCAAATGTTCTCATGTCATCTGATCTGTTTTTATATTTTGTACTAGTATATAGTCTGAATTGTTTATTGATTTGTGTTTGCACTGCTTTTTCTATTAAATTAAAGTTGACCAAAACCTACATTTGTCTTTCAATTGTTTAAAAATACATGAAAATTGAAATTAAGGGGAATGAAACCCAAAAGCTAAGTTTATCTGCTATTTCAACTGTAAAGAAAACACAGAAAATAAAAGAGCAGAGTATAAAAGTGAACAACTTACAAGCATCAATAACAAAAAATATCTGAAGAGTAAGCTGCTCAAAAAAGATCTACATACATACAAAGTAAAAAGATCACAAAAGCACAGATAATATTAACATTCTTATTATATGTAGGTCTACAAAGTAGCAATAAAAACTGACGTAACATGATTTGTTTGTGTGATAACCAAGACAGTGCTGGTTGTTATTTTTAATAATAAAAAGATTATTATTAAGCTTTGGTCTTTTAGCAGTGACCATTCCCATCCAAACCAAAGCAGCTTCTAGCCAGTGAACTAAAAATATATTTCTATGTACACCTGGTATTTTAGCCATTTTTAAATAGCAACAAAAAGAGCAAATAAATAATATTCGTAACGTTATTCAAAAGAAAGTTGCTGAGTCTCTTCTGCAGAAGTACCTAACTCCGTCCAGAAGGTGGCACTAATGCACCTTTAAACTGTTTGACTACCTCCATAAAAACTCACAATAGAAGATTTGTTTGAGTTGCTCTTTACCCGCACCGTTGTCCACGCTTTACTCAGGACATGAAGGGAACTTCTCGGTATTTGTTGACACTGTGCACTTGGTGAAACTTTGACTGTAGCAGCTTCCTTGTCGCTTCGTGCAGTTTGTGTTAGAAACAGTCTGTGACAACCTGAACTTGAATACCTATGTGTGTCAGTCCACGCAGCCGGACTGAGAAGGAATAAAGATGGGGACAGCATTGATTTATGATGAGGAGATGACCAGATACAAACTGCTCTGGGTTGAGTAAGTCACAATAACTCTTTTAAACACACAGTTTGGTGCCTGTAGCTAACGTTAGGTAATCAAATAAGCATGAATGAATATTGCTAATGTACGCTACTGTCTGTATCTTGGGGAGAACAGGGTATCAAGGGTTAAATACTTGATTGTTTTTTAGTTTTAAATGAATACGTATTTCATTCAAATTGTTGATTCACGTCCTCAAATTATTTGACGTATTTTCTGGAAATTAAAGTTGTTGTAGTGGTAGGAACTGAAGTGGCTGGTTGTTGTTGTAGCTAGCCGGGTCGGTTAGTGAGGAGCACCCGTAGTGTCCCTGAGCCCCAGTACATTAAAGTTTTCAAATTCCCTCTCTTAGTCTTAATTATTCCCACCAGTGTCTTCCTCATACAGTTAAGATGTCACTTCTCTCTCCTTCAGCACTTTATTTACACTTTGCTGGGTGCCACATTTACATCAAAACAAAACAAAACAAAACAAACAAACAAAAATAACCCCAGTAACACAGTACTGCTTGTGTGAACCAATGTTAGGCTTTTTCCCCCATAAGATTATAGTTTAATTTGGTAAAATTAGTGGTGTGAATGACACATACTGTTGCATTTGCAGTTTCACTTCCTGATGGAGATGAAATCACCCAATGGGCTGTGAACAGACTTTGTAACTGATTGAGCATTCATTGTTAAACTGTTTGTCAGCCGAATTAATAGTACATTTTAAAAATAAATTGTCATTATGTTTCACTAGTGTTGTCTAATTTATTTAGATAAAGTGTCTGTTTAGTCTCTTTTGCCATATTTTTGTAAATAATAGCTGAGTGGATTTGCTGTCTCTTATTTTCCTTTATGTCATTTGCATTTATATGTATTTTATTTTTATTTCATCTTTTTTTTTTTACTAGTTTTTGTATTCTTAATGTAGCGGAACATCCACTGCTTCTTGACTTCATTTTCACCTCTATTACGTTTTCTTTTGCTTGTTTGTGTGCAAAAAGTGCAAAAATAAAAAGACTACCAATGACTATACTTTGAAAAACATGAACATAATTTCAAATGATCAGGCACAAATTCACTTGTTGAATTAAAATACCGACCAAAGTATTCACTAGGTCATAACGAACACATCTTGAACTCAAAATTCAACAAATAATTCAACTATATGTAACATTATTTTACATTATCGTCTTTCCAGCCCTGCATGTAAGATCGAGGTGCCTGAGCGTCTGACAGTCAGTCACGAAGCTCTGATCAAGAACGGTCTGGCTGATCGCTGTGTCTCCGTACCGGTCCGTGAGGCGACGGATGCAGACATTCTGCTGGTTCACAGGTCAGTCCTGATGTCTTCAAAGAGTCCCCGGCTGGTTCAATAAGGTTTTCTACCGCCGCATGAGTCTGAAATAAATTCCTCAAGTCACTCAGCTACGTATACTTTGCTGCTCCCAACAGTGAGGAGTACTTGGAGGCAGTGAAGAAGACCCCGTATATGACTCTGGAAGACCTGAAGGAGTTCACCCTGCAATATGGCGACGTCTACTTCCACCCAGTTAGTCCGTCACTTTATATTGTTACCAGCTGAGTTTCAGCTTTTGCCATTTATCTGTATCTTACATTTGTTCATTCAGTGGTGGTTAGAGGGATGACTCTCAGGTTGCTGCGATGAAAATAGATCAGCTTCACTCCCGGCTAACCATTCCTCTTTCTCATTTACTGTCCTAGAACATCTATCACTGTGCCAAGCTGGCTGCAGGGGCCGCACTGCAACTAGTGGACAGTGTTATGACGGGGAAGGTGAGGAATGGCATGGCTCTGGTCAGGTGAGGCCGTTAACCAGTTAGACACAGCAGTCCTGATTGCAAGCACCCGAGAGAGTCATTCAACAGTTAATGAAATATATGTATAGAATGCCAAGAGCAATAAAACATAAGTGTGTAAAGTCCTGGACAGCTAATACAAAAGAAGTAATCAGCAAGAGACCTTCAAATTGGAATTTGTGGAACTAATAGTTTACAGCTTCCCAAATTCAGAAATTGGCCCCTTTTCCTCTTTTTATATTATTATAAAGTACATTACTAAGCTTTTCATCTGCCGTGTCTCTGTACAATCTCTACATAGACTAAATGATTAATAAATAAATATAATAAATAATTACTAAAATCTTGATACTTCTTCTGTCACCTCTCTGTCATTGTTGACAGACCTCCAGGACACCACAGTATGAGCAGTGCTGCCAATGGATTCTGTGTGTTCAATAATGTGGCCATAGCAGCTCAATATGCAAAGCAAAAATATGGGCTTAAAAGGTAACATGAATTTAGATTTTCTTTTTGTTCATTCTGGCAACGATGTGAGAGATGAATTCTCCAAAAGCTGCTACATATTTACACCATTTTGTGTTTTCAGGGTTTTGATAGTTGACTGGGATGTACATCATGGTCAAGGGGTGCAGTACTGTTTTGAAGATGATCCAAGGTGAGTTCTTCCTAATGGAAGGATCTTGAATTTTATATGTGGATGTTATATTCTGGCATATTCAATTCTGCATACAATTTAATTTTTTCCCTCCAGTGTGCTCTACTTCTCGTGGCACCGCTATGAGCATCAGAAATTCTGGCCTCAACTTAGAGAATCGGACTATGACAGTGTTGGCAAAGAGAAAGGGGCGGGATTTAATATAAATGTACCGTGGAACAAAGTAAGTAACCACGGAAACACTGTTCACTTGAAGATATATGCAGTTTATAGTTGGGTCACACTGGAGCTAACAAGCAGCTTTTTTTGTTTAACTAATCTGGATCTCAGATTTGCTTTGATGGTTGTGTGCACACATTTATGTGTATGAATGTGTTTATTAATAAGGTTCCATTATGATATTTCAGGTGGGAATGAAGAACAGCGACTATCTTTCAGTCTTCTGTCACGTCCTCCTGCCAGTTGCATATGAGGTCAGCCATTTTCACTTTAAATTCACGTTTTTCTAACAGAAGATAATGAATTAGAGGTTATTTATCTGTGATTCTTTGTCACAGTTTTGCCCAGACTTGGTCCTGGTGTGTGCAGGCTTTGACTCAGCCATCGGTGACCCAGAGGTACTTAATATACATCCTCATAATAAAGCTTGATTTTTGTATCTGTATATATTCTTTTTTGTGTATGCTGAAATTACTGAAATTATTATCACTTATATATTTATATTGAGGTCATAGTTAAAAATGGTGTATTGGACTCCACTGTCTTTATTTACAGGGTGAAATGTGTGCCAGCCCCGACATCTTTGCCCACCTCACTCACCTCCTGATGAACCTTGCGGGAGGGAAACTGTGTGCTGTGCTCGAGGTCAGGCTGCATATACAAACATATACTTAACATCATTTTCATTCCATCTCAGAAATATCGGTTTCCATGTTGGTTACTGGAGAATTTTCCCCTTCCAAAATCGGTACCAGTAACAGCCTCAAAAATCAGTCGGGCTCTGTTTCTCTTGTTTTACCTTAAAACACTAGTATCTAATCTATCACTACAAATATTACATGAGCATACTTCATATTAGATTGTACATATTGTTGTCATCATGGAAGGACACTGGGTTGTAAAAGGTTTTATTGTGTGAATGTTTTCCAGGGAGGATACAACTTGACTTCCCTCCCCCAGTCTGTGTGTCAAACAGTTCAAACTCTTCTTGGAGATCCTGCGCCTCGACCTGCAAACCTTGATGGTCCCTGTGAAAGGTCTGTCTTACTGTCACGTGTCAGACGTTTATCTTGTGTGGATTTTTATAACTGTAGTGAATTTTATTTTTCTCTTTTCAGTGCACTCGAGTCCCTTCACTGTGTCCGATCAGCTCATAGGCAGTACTGGTCCTGCCTTAAACACGCAGGTATAGCAGTACTTTCTGATCACTTCTGTTTTTAGTGTTTTATAATCTTGTTACTTTTATATTTATTGCTCCATAAAATATTAAATTACTTTGCTCTCCAGCTAAGCTACCTACCTTTGAGATCAGCACAAAGCGCGTTAAATTAGCAGAAGAAGAAGAAAGGTTGGAGAAAGGAGATGAGGAGAAAAGCCAAGAGGAACAGGTGTGGCCAGAGCCTCCGAAACGTGTCACTCCTCCAATCCGCGCTGCTTTAGTGCTCCCTAATGGCGTGGCTTGCCCTGACGGATGTGAAAGCTTCGGCGCGTCAGAGGATGCCGACCCAGTCATAGTCAACAAACTCAGGTATGTAGCTGCAGCTTGTAATGCTTAACTTAGTTAAGTTGGCATTATTCATAGTAATCTCTGAGTTTATAGAGTTATAATTATGATTTAATCTTCTACATTATACATAAATGTGTTGTTTTTTCCACAATAAGGGAGAATTTCGTCAAAGATGCAGATGACTGCCATGCTCTCACAACCCTCTCCAGTCTTATTTCCCTCGTAGAGAAAATGGAGAAGAATGAGGTACAGCACAGGATATTATTTTTGACTTTTCGAGTGCTGTGATGTGATCCGCTCGTAAATACACTTTTTGCTTTGCCAACCTGTCCACATGAGTTGCTAGGTGATGTCATTATACTTAATTACTACCTCTTAGATCTGCAGCGGCTTGGCTCTGGTCTGTGACGTCTCCATGGCGATGATGTGTGTTGTCCAGCATGCTGCAACTGCTCTCAGCAAACGGTATAGCAGTGTGGCTCTAATCCACACGTACAGTTGCTGCATGTTGCTATTAACCGAGATAGAAAGGTGATCTGGCGATAAGACAGACTGCTTTGTAACAGTGTCCTTACATGGAAACATCCATCCTTAAAGGAATAGTTCTACATTTTGGGAAATATGCTTACTTGGTTACTTGCAGAGAGAGAGCTGTAGACTGGAGTCTCAGTGACAGTGAGTGGGGATGAGTCACAGACAAAACAATGCCATTAATTTTGGCATTGTGTCTTCATTTTTGTAACCCAGCACAGCAATACTTTGTTTTGTTTTGTAATATGGGTAAGTTAACATCTACAGACTACAATGAGTAGTATGTAAGGGATAAAGTTAAAAGCATTCTGTCATTTCCCTGCCATTTCTTTTGTTTCAATTGTCAGATATTATCACAGGTGACAGAAAACAATACATTTTATTAGAAACTCCTCAAAACCAAACGGCCAATAAGGTTTAAAGTCATTTCCTGTATACTGGTAGTTTTAAAGACTTGACTTATTTCTATGTTCTGTGTCATTTACGCCCACCTTGCAAATAAGGTGCAAGTTCAGATGTGTATTAATAATTCTTTTATTGTCAAGAGTATAGTCTGATGATTGATGCTGCTTTCTCCTCATGCAGGCTTTTGGTTGTGTGTGTTGGAGACACTGCGGTCCCAAGTGACGACACAGAGAATGGGTGATTATCATTTGTGCTCCCTGAATTAGACTGTGTGATAAAACTCCTCTCCCTTTTGAGCTAATGAACAAAGACGGCAACAGTGTGAACAGCATGATGACAGAAATCTTTCCATCTTTAGGAAAACAGTCCTGGTGCAGTTCAGCAGCAAGGAGTCGGAGGAACAGAAATGCAAATATTACATTCCTGTGTGTCTGAAGAAGGTAATGTGTGTTATAATAGTAGAAATGAAAATGTTCAGTGTGCATGTATTCAGTATTACTGTTTTATTGTTTGTCTTCATGATTGTATTATAACAAAGTTCTGTCATGTGGTTAAAACACAATGTAATAAGTAATATAATATATAATATAATATAATATAATCTACTGGTAATATAATTATAATATTGACTTGTTTAATTCTGTCCAGCATGAAAGTTTATGCAACTCTAATACACATATATTCACAGTTTGTTATATTTAGGGTTTTAACCATTTGATTTAATCTGATGAACACAAACTTCATAATGTCTTCACAATGTACTTTGGAATATTTGAGGAAATGTGTGTGTGTGTGTGTGTGTGTGTGTGTGTGTGTGTGTGTGTGTGTGTGTGTGTGTGTGTGTGTGTGTGTGTGTGTTTGTGTTTGTGTGTGTGTGTGTGTGTGTGTGTGTGTGTGTGTGTGTGTGTGTGTGTGTGTGTGTGTGTGTGTGTGTGTGTGTGTGTGTGTGTGTGTGTGTGTGTGTGTGTGTGTGTGTGTGTGTGTGTGTGTGTGTGTGTGTGTGAGTGACAGATGGGAACACATCCTAAGCATGTTTGTTTGTCCTCCCACAGGGCTGCAGTGACGCGTCAGGGTTCCTACAGGCTGTGCTGGGCCTCCTTCTGCCCCTGGGATACGAGTATGACCCCAGCCTGGTTCTGTTGGTTCGGATGCCGGATAGTGGGGTGTGTGACAGCGTGTGGCAACAACTAACGGGCCTGCTGCAGGGCCTCGCACAGGGACACACTCTGGTACTCATGCAGGTAAGAAGACTGGGGCAACTAAAAGTACAGTAAACACCTTCTTGTTCCTTGATAGCATGGAAGTACAGATGTTCATGTTTGGCTTTATTTTTGGGGAGGTTTAAAATGGCAGCTTCTACTTCAGTGGTCAGTAATTTTGTCATTTCAGGAAGGTGAGAAGGAACGTGTTGCCCCCACTGCTTCTGCTCTCCTCGGAGACGCTGCTCCCTCTCTGGGGCAGCTTCATTCTCCTCTACCAGAGGATGTGGAGGTGCTGGAGAGGCTGAGACACAGACTGCAGGGGGACTGGAAGCTGCTGCAGACTACAGGTGAATTCACAACAGCAGCATCACATATCAACATTACACATAATCTGACATCCATGGACTTGGAAAAGACTATTTCAACTATGTAACTATGCATATTTACATTACATATTTTCTTTCTCCTAAAACAGCACCAGAAACTGGAAGAGGTGATGAGCACTGAAGCTGATCCTGCTACTTTTTTGTTAAGAAAGTTGAAACACGTCAATCAAATGTCTTGAAAACATTTTTTACTTTGTTGGCCAAATGGAGCTTTTATCAAACATTGTGCCCTAAAATAAACTGTATTTTAATCAATTAAAATGTGTGATAGATTGTCAGTTTGTCTTTTGATGTGTAGATTAACACATTACAACAACTCAGTCGAAGGTATTCATCTTTTCTGCTGCTGTGAGAGATTTGTTTACATTGGTAATGTCTGGTGTCCTGAGCAGAGAATGTCGTCTCACTCTCTCTCTGCCTGTGTTGCTATCGCAGCCTCTCTGGTTTGCTTACATAGCCGGTCTGCTTCGTGTGCAGCTGAGCTATTTTTTTCTCATCTACGTTGGTCAATTAAGAATTTATTTCGACCAAGGCAGAGTTGGTGATTGTTGGAACAGTGGAAAGACTATAGACTGTTTTAGTGAGTGTTATTTTCATCCAGCTGTGAAGTCGCAGATTGCAAACAACTGAACACATCTGTACTAGAATGACAGGGCTGTGAAGCGTGTAGGAGAAACTGGGGAAAGTCCCTATCTACAGCCAGTGTTTGGTTTGTCTGTGCTGGGCTACTATGGCGGTTCAACATGACAGCCTCCATGGAAGAGGACCCGCTCCCTCAATAGTTAAGAATAGCTCATTCTAAGGTAACGAAAACACAACGATTCCTAAATCCAGGTCATTATACACTAATGAAAACATACCTATGAATAATACATTCCATTTCTGCCATTAATCCTCCTAAATGTTAGACACCGGACCTTTTTAAGTACATTTTGAATGACTTCTTTGTAATTAATCACTTTTGTACTGTTTTAAAGGTTTGTTTTTTTTAGTCTGTGTGAATTGCTACCACTACTTAAATGATCACAGTTCTTTAAGAAGCTCTGAAAGCTTGAACCTTTGAACCTAGTTTCTCTCCACCGCATACCGATGTATTCATTAATTTATTGTCATATTAAACAATAAATCAATATTCTGGGGTAGGGAAAATAGTGTGGGCTTTCATCGCCCGGACTTTGTGAGTCCTGTCCCTCGCCGTCAGGGGGCGCTGTGGGGTGAAGTGTAAACAGATGAAGCTGTTACTCACATGTGAGTCATTGGTCTGTATGGATGCCCAACCAGCGGTCCTCCTCCAGTCTGCTGTCTGACCGTCAATGTGTTAGTTTGCTGTCTTTTCGCTGTGATTGGATCGTACACCGATGCCTGAATGCACCACAGGGAGGGGTGACATTATCAACACACACAGGAGAGACTAAACACACACACACACACACTGAAAGATGTCTGGGACCGCGACCGCATCTGCGACCATGCAATCCGCTAAAATGAAAAAGGACGAGTCTTTCCTCGGGAAATTAGGAGGAACCCTGGCGCGGAAAAAGAAGTCTAAAGAAGGTAAGTAATGTTTTTTTTTAGTTTGTCCTTTGCTATCCTTAACGTGATTATACTCCCCTTGTGTTTCAGTCCACTGCTGCAATCACATGATGTGCTATAAAGATATTCTCCTCCAGGACATCAGTGGCAGTTGAATCATGAGCTGTACACATGATTTACAACATTTATAGTGCTTTCTCTGGTACTTGCTTTATGGAGATTTTCCTCTGGTATGATATTCTAATCTGGGTCTCCTGATTAGTAACTAATTATAGGCTCAATCATTAACATATGTTGAACTCTAGTGTAGTTTTGATATGGTTTTCTTTTAAAGGGTGAGAGACGCTCATAAGCGAATGAGAGAGGAGACAAAGCCTCTCAGCGACTCCACAGGCATTTAACATGAGGTAATAAACATAAATAGATCATACAGTCAGTGACCGGGGGCCAGGAATGCAAGGTTAGAAAGATAAAGGTGTAAGAGGATTTCCGTGCTCATTGAACTTCAGATATCAAAACACTCATTCAGTTATTGTCCTAGTTTTCCAGTTGTTGACCAAACTATTTTCTGCCTTCCCACCGGCCAGTCACTGTGTGGTCAGACAGACAGCTGCAAGGTTTAACGCCTCTGTGTGTGTGTGTGTGTGTGTGTGTGTGTGTGTGTGTGTGTGTGTGTGTGTGTGTGCGTGCTCACAACCATGTGTTTGTAATCTCCATTAAAGGAGTTCCACCAGCAGGAGGACAGAGACATGTTAATTGTTCAGGAGCCTCATTCAATTAGTCTAAAAACCTGTTGGGTTTGAACAGTTTAAAATCTCTTTAAACTGTTAAGAATTAAAATTCTTGTCTTTAAACTATGTGTCAGGTTGACTGTTTGGTGGGAAATGTGCACAGAATGAGGCACAGTCACTTCAAGGGAGAGCTGCAACAATGAATCAGTTAGCTGACAGAACTGGAAATCAATCTATTAATCATTAAGATTTATTAATAATAATAAAAATAATCTTTAGTTGCAGCCCTAATATACATACAAAAATACAATCCTGCCAGAATGGAATTAAGGGATTTTTCTAAGCTTAAAGCTGTTTTAGGGGTTAAACAGAGACTCCTGAAGAAAACTCATCCCAGTGGGTTAATTAGATGATGACTGAGAGGTGGAGTCCTAATGTGATGAGGTAACGAGAATAGTCTTCCTGCGTTTGCGTTTTACTAAAGTTTTACTGAACCCAGTGATGCAGATTTGTTGTTTGTTAATGTAACTTGGAATTGAATAAACATAGACCAGTCTTTCTCAGAATGATAAGGAAGGAAGGAAGGAAGGCACAGAGTTGTGAAGTTCTTGTACAAATGTGAACATTAGAGAGAGAAAGAGAGAGAGAGCTCTCAACTAACAGGACTAGTGATTGTGATATAGTGCAATAATGATCATTGTGATTAGTTGGAATGAGAATTTTTGCATCACAATTCTCATTTTCACTGAAAGTAAGGGTTGAAATCGTGATGATGTGACAGTTTTTGGGGTCTGTACCAAACAAACTTGTTTTCTTGCGTCTGGAAAACAACATATGTCAGTCAGGGCATCTCTGGAGCACTATAGTACTTCATTATAATGTTATTTTGTTGCGCATTTGACCTCAAAAATAGTTGCAGCTTTAAATACTGCACTTGGCCATGTTGTGATTCTGGTGATGTTTCAATTAATTGTGCAGCCCGAATAATAAGGTTAATCAATAAAAACAAAATTAAAATTGGCTGCAGCTCTAAATTCAACATTAATATATAAGTCTTAGAAATTGGTCCAGCCTAGACTTTAGTGTAGAACCAGGAGAGAAAGTCTGATGATCCTTAAGCATTTTCTCTTTGTACTAATATGTAATGAAGGATACAACATTAAAACATATCCGTCCTTTATTTATCAACCTCCAACATAATGGAAAAATCCTTACTGGTCCCTAGACCTTAATCCTGTCAGCATATGGGTCTAAATCAGTGCTGTAGGTGATGAATTCTCCAGTGTGGACAGAGAGGAATCCCACATGACCACAGCACTGTGTCTGGGAACCCTCTTTAGCTTTGAGTGCAGCTTGTGAGAGTGCAGTGCCCCTGTGTGGTCAAAGTCGATTAAAGCTCAGAGGATACACAGGTTGTTTTAAAGGTAAAAGATCTCAATGATGTTAGAATTCGACATCAATATAACAGGAGAAAAGTATGTGAGGTTTAGTCTTGCTAATGGAGCACAGCTTGTTGCCTCACATGCTGTAAATGTGGTTTCTTTTACGTTTGGGTGTGGTACTGTCTACTCTTTAAGGGGAACACCCTAGAGACTAGTCGCCACTGGAAAAGTTACTTGACATTTGCTGAATAATCATTTAACAGTGGATTATTGTATAAGTGTGGATAAGTAAAGGTTTCGTAAATTGTCTTGGAACTCCTTAGCAACCGCACATACACATTTTAGTACAGTGTTAAGCACTTAAGCCGTCCTTGTTCTGTCAGAAAATATTGTTTAAGGCTATTGGAAAAGAACATAAGGGAAATTTTTTTTTTGCCTAGTCCAGATATCTGGTTCTAGTTTTCAGAGATACTGTAAGGCTCATTCTGTATATCCTGATAAACTGAAAGGAAGTCTGCGTTTCTCTGACAAGACACAACTCCCTCTGTCAGCAGCAGGCAGTGCTGTATTACTGATAGTTTAGTGAGAGCAAAAAGCAGGTTTTTGCTTTATAAGGACTGAGAGGATGAGTGTTATGTCACATCCTCATTGTTATCATCTTAGGGTGAAGAGTATTTGCACTGAAAATACAAAATATAACTAACATACAAGCTTTAGGATGGATGCTGATAATAGTAAGTCATTTGTTTGTTTTTTATTGTCATTAATTGTACAACTATTAAAAAGAGATGGAACTGAGTACATTGTGCATTAATTAATGTATTATTATGTATATATCCCATAAAGTACAACTTAAACCACTAAATACAATATATGTTTTACTATACTGTGGCTTTGTATCTATGTGATGACGATTTAGAAATGTAGCTTCTTTGTGAAAATACGGTATAAATAATAAAAAACGTCAATCGCTGGTAAAGTATATTTACTTAACAGTATATATAGAAACAGGAAGTATTTGTTTCCATTATATAGGAGATTCACTGATATTCATTCAAGAGTAGAGTTGCACCAAAAACTTTAAAAAAGAACTTTTTCAGTATGTTTGCTTATGCGTTTATGTAAAATAAATGAATATTGGCAGGCCTATCTTTTTAGTCTAAACTCTCAAACATCAATATTGGCATCAAATTGGACTTAGAGGACTTTACACTACATTCTGAACTACATTCGACTACCTCTATCCATTTGATGAGAAAACACATACTTTTAAAGGAAAAAAATTAAGGGAATAGCTCAGAAAAAGCAACAGATTGTCATGCAGTAGATGTTATATGTGCAGAGTAGAGTAGCAGTAGTAGAATTACAATATGGAGGAAAACAAGATTACAACGTGAAGTAAAAAAAAACATATACCATATTATAATGATAGTAGTAATAATAATAAGTAAGTGTAATACCTTAAAGAGTTTCAGCTGTCATGTTAATGTCTACTGAATCACACTTGGTGTTATCTCCTGGCTGCTGTTACTCACTGGTGCCTGTGTTGGTGTAAATAACCAAAGCTATATTTAAGGTCCAGTCTGTCTTCTCCACTCTGCTGCATTATTTATATCTCTCTCCCACCCCCCGTGTCACAGTCAACCCCCTCCCCCGGGAGCAGCGGAACCAAAAGACGAGATCGATTTCAATCTACTTTACGCTGTTGTTTATGATGCCGGCTGATTATACTTAGAACATTTTTGTCTCTAAAGCAGAGGAAATCTGACCGTATGTTGTTGCTGTTGTCTTGACTAATCATTTAGTCCTCTCCCATAATGGTTTGTAATTTCACAGAGGAGCTTTTTACATGAATTTATGCAATGAGGTCGACGTAAGATAAATGTTCTTCACTGCAGGCTTTGGTTTGTATTCAATTAGTGTAATTCTGTTAACAGGAATACAGCCGCTGCCTGATTGATTAACTGCTGCAGCAAAACATGTTCAAGGCTCCTTTCACATGCTCATTGAGTTATTCACTGAAACAAGTCTATTCTCTCATATTGCTTGAAATTACTACACTGCATTTTAACTAATTTTAACAGTCAGTTATAGCAACAAAAACATGAACTAGGCTTTGTTTGTATGAGAAAATAATTTCTTTTTTTTTTTTTTTACACCAAACTGCATGCATTGATATGGATTTTAAATTAAAGGATATTCAGTCAACACTATACCTGGCATAGGTCAGTGAAGTCCCACCTGTGTCCTCTGCACACAGGTTACTAGTGTGATAGAGCTGCTTTGGTCCCGTGTAGTGTCTCCTTCCTGTCCATGCAAACACGCACATACATACAACACACACACACACACACACACATCTCTCAGCGTCTCCTGTAACTGGACCGTAGAGGTGGGGTGGAGGGTTGTGACAGAAATAAACACGTGATGACGCCCCCTGCCACCGCTCAGTCCCACAGACTGAGATTCACACACACACACACACACACACACACTCCTACATTTGCTCTTCATTGCCGGCGGGTAGAAATCCAGAGGTTTATAGTGGGAACATGGCGGGGCTGCTGTGTGGGACCAAGAGGAAGAAACAAGGTAATTTTGTTCTAATGTTCTAATCTTTGAGGAACTTGGAAGTGGAAATGGGGAAGCAGGAGCTGTTACCTTTAGTGCACTGTATCCAGAAATGTGTTGGTTGTTGTAATAGGTCATCAAGTTCTGCTAGTCACTTTAAAATGAGTCGTTATCATTATAGAATTGGCTGTGTGTCTTTGGAAGTGATTTATTTCCATATATAGTTCTGCAAAATTATGCTATGGTAAATGAATTTCATTGTATAATTTTACCATTTCCACCCACATTTTACTTGATTGGGTGCCTCAGCTGTGTCTAGCTCAGCCTGAAGCAGCAGTAATGCAGTCAGATGGACACGGAGGGAGGAAGCAGCACAATTATGATGAAATGCAGCAAGCTCGCTCTGTAATTACAAAGCAAACTGCTGATCTGTTGTGAGATTCAGGGCTCGAGTAGTGTTCAGGCTCTTATGGGAAGGCTGAATCTGATAGGAAACCTTTAGGGACCCCTCCTCCTGGGGTAATTCTGTATATCCTCTCTTTATACATACTTTGAAGTTAGGATTTTGTACAGATTGTACCATAAACACACAAGCCTAGACTTTCTTTCATCGTGTTTTCAATTTAAAAACACAGTTCACATGCTTTTAATTTGAAAAAGTGCAGCCGGTTTTTATTTCGGTTTTCGTCTTCACCTTGGTTCTCCTCGCAGGTCTTATAAATAGCAAATTCAATGAAATGACAGATTTGAGACCATTGATTGTGGTCCAGCCTCTTGCACGTTCTACAAATTGAAATGCAGGATGATGAAAGCTATTAGGGGAAGAAGGCCTTTAAATCCCACGAGTGTCTCTCCAGTCAGAAGTGAAAGCATCTCAAGCAGAAATTGATTTTATTCAAAGTCAGAGTCAAAGGGTGTGTTAGTGTTTGTAACTTTCTGTGTATCTTGTCACTTTTAATCAACTTTAATGTAGTTAGCCATACTTTGAATATGTTGTATGTTTGCAGCACAAAAGTAACAAAATGAAATACTTGAAAGTCCAGAGATACATGCTTAAATTACTTGATTTTTGATTAATACTGCCCCTTAATGCCATCTGTTGGGGAAAGGAAAAAGCCTCACATGGCTGGTAGAGAAATTTAGGAAGTGACAGACGTGTGACAGCTCAGGGAGCAGCTCAAAATCCCTGAAAACATTTCTTACAAGCTGTTTGAAGTTTCTGCAACTCACAGCTTGACAACAACATCCACCAGTTCAGAATATCCTAATAGCACCTTATGCTACAGTATGTAGAGCGAATGGGTGGAATATATTTTAGAATAAGCATTTACTTTAGTGCATAATGTGGTATTGGGAGTCAAATTAAGTCTTCTAAGTAAGTGATGAATGAGTTGTCAACAATTAAAGTATCAAAGTAAGAGTTGTCTTGTTTGGAGTACAAAGTATGAGATAGCAAAGTTTTGAGTCCATTGAGGTCTGCTTAAATCCTGCATAAAATGAAACAAAGTAAATAATCATGACATTTACAAGAGAATGAGAATAGATACAAGAAAGTAGGATATATGTAATAAAAATGATGGACATTTATTTTATTTTTTAAAAGGATCAAAAATAAAGCAACAGAACCACATATTGTCATTTTTTTCCTACACATTATTCTTCCTTGTCAAAACGTGGTGCCTGGCTACATTACCCACAATGCAACTCGAGCGCGACCAGTTCTGTCAGAGATTGGGGCGTGTTATGCTAGTAGCAGCTAATGTAGCCTCAAGCCCCTAGCCTCCTGCAGAGATGAGGAGTGGGCTGTTACACTAACTTCTTTCTAACTCCAAACCCCCAGATCCTCTTCATTATCAGTCTTGTAGTCTTCAGACCCAACTGCCGCTGACTCAAGTGACATAATATTTTGACACCATGCACCCTGAAGCCACAAAAGGCTTTAGTAGTAGAAGTCTTGTCTCCCATGACTTGTTAACAGACTTTGATGTGTAAAACAGGCGGAGTTTCCCTTTAAGATTCTGGTGTCATACAGATAAAGTAGTGTCTGTAGAGGAGGAGCAGGTCCTACAAAAGTTGATACCACACTTTCCCCACAAGGGGAATTTATGGTGATTGTACACTAATACAGCTACCAGTGACACTGACAAGCTTGATCTTTTTTTATTTCTGTCCCACAGTCTGCTTGCTTATCTCACTCTCTGTCACTATACTCAGAGAAGAAATGTTCTTATCATTCACTCCCTAAACACATTTTATTTCATATAACCCTTTTACTTTTTTATAAGCAGGACTTTTCAACTATGTCTGTTTCTGTTTATTTGTTTTATTGAATTTGTTTGGCCGGATTTTTGAGTTTTACAGTTTTGTGTGTATTTTTTGTCTCACTAGTGAGTGATCTCCATGAGGAGGGGAAGAATGCCATCAACGCTCCCATGCTTCCCACGGGGACAGACATCCACCCAGAAGACACACTGATGGGTAGATACACACATATATGCACATGTAAAGAACATTTTATCTATAGTTGAAACCACACAGTGATGGTATCGCAGCTCACTGTCAGAGGTTACTGAGGTCACAATATGAATATGTTGACACATGTTGGCTAACGGGGACTTTGACAGTAGAGGAGCAGGAAATGAAAGTGGGTGGAGACGCCTTTGTCTTCTGTCACCATGTGAACCACTGTTGACATGAGAGTGATAGGAAAACTGTATGTGTCTGTGTTTGTGTCTGTAGATTTGGATTTCCATTCACATGCCCACTAACTGTCCTAATGTGTCTCCCATTATGTTCATCAGAGGAAAACGCTGAGAGGATCATGCTGGACCCAACATCACGGGAAAATCTTAAATTTAAAGATCTTCTGAAGGTAGTCTGGGATCACATTTTGTGCACAAACATCATATCTCAGCAGAGCAGTAGAAAATCTGAAGAAAATAGCAAAAAGAAAGGGGAGGTTTTATTATATTCTGATGTGTGTCCAGGTCCTGATTGACTGGATCAACAGTGAGTTGGAAGAAGAGAGGATCATAGTCAAAGACCTGGAGGAAGACTGTTATGATGGACAAGTGCTCCAGAAGCTTTTTGGTGAGAAACTGGTTTCTTTGGCATTACAACACTCTCAACATATTTCTCCATAAAGCTTCTGTACTCCGCACTTTTAGTAGTAGTAGTAGTAGTAGAAAGTATTGAATTCATTCACTCTGATAACATTAGCTTTATTGGAAATGGAAAGTGTGAGTCATATACTTTTGTCTGGCATCAACTCCAAATATAAATAACATATTTATACTATAGAACATGACTCAGTTTAAAATTATATCTGCAGCCTGTGACTCAAGCATAAAGTTTGATGCTTAACTAAGGTACATGTCCAAAGCGTTGTATTTTCAGTAAACTCAAACCTTATTTTGCATGTTTTAATTTCTCTATACACCTGTGTACCAGATGCATATTTGACAAAACATAAATGGCCACAGTTACACAGTTATATCTCCAATTAGCATTAGTAGTGTCATGACTACTAGTAAACACAATTCACTCAAATTTTCTTTAATTTTGAAGCACATTTGTAATGAGGAGCTGTAAAGTTACACATCCATAGGCCAATAAATGTCTCACCTCATTCAGTATCATGTCAAAAATGTTATATTGGCACATTATGGTTTTCTCCAATTTTGTGATTAATGTGTATTCACGAAGGTGCTGCTGTGTCTAGTAAAGCGTTAGTCTCTTTGGTCTGTTAGGGGCTACCCCCTTGTGTCTGTTATTTGTTACAGCAGGCTGAAAACTTGACATTTTCAGATTCCACCCTGACACCGCATGCGATCAACTACTGGTGGTTATATGTATCTGTAGGTAGCAGCACTCTGTGTTCCTTCGTGTCCATGTTTATGTCTTGTGCACCATTACATCTTACACAGTTTTTGTTGTATGTAGATTTTTAAATTCTACGTCTTGCTTGATTCTGAAGTGTTTTTTGTGTAATCAAAGGGGAAAATGCATGTGCTCAAACTCCCTCCTCATCTCCTCTCCATTTTATCTGAACAACTGGTTTCTTCTTCTCCTTTTCTCCAATTTATTTGTGAAAACACTAGCTAGCTGTTGCAGCCTGACAAAATGTCTCACCAGCTGCCAAACATTCCCAAGAATAAAACGTCAAGAACTTACATATTCATTTACAAAAGCTATTTGATACAAAATAGAGCTGAAACTCATTTACATATGCTGCAGATGTTTCATGAACAACGTTTAAAACACAGTGGGAAACATTTTGTTCAGTGATGTGTGAGTTCTTCATTTCTGTTACAGCTCTTTTCAGTTTTTGCACTCCTTTATCACTTTTGCACCTCATGAAATATCAGTCTTTTATTGCATCAGTGCCGGTTTTAGATTCTCTTTTTTTTTTTATCAGCGTTGCTGGTTTCTTTTTTTAAATATTTGAACCCATACACTTGAGATTAGCTTCTTAAATTCTCTTTCTTGCTATTGCCTGGAGCAAAGAAGTCTTCCTTTGCAAGTGCTCTTTGTTGTCATTTTCAAGATCATCGTGTCCTTGTTTTTTCAATGAACAAAGTCCACACTGATACAGGCATGAAAAAACATGTTGTTGTTCACTTATTTTGGTTTGAAGCACTATTGTAACTTTTGTCTTTTATGTGAACGAAGTGTTTTTTTTTCACCAGTTGAGCTAATTTGGTTTCCTCCGTTTTTTAATCTGTATATGGGTTCCTCCTTATTTTTTTCTAATCCCACGTACTTAAAGTGCACAATTGCTTGCCACCGTATACCCGTTCAGTACCACACAATACTGCTGCATGATACTGTATTATTATTTTATGTAATATTACACTTTTCAGGATTATCTTCTGTGTATGGAAAGTGTCTCCCTGTATGTTTGAGCAAATATCTCTCCTGTTGTTGACAGAAAAGTTGTCTGGCAGGAAGCTGAACGTGGCCGAGGTGACACAGTCAGAGATCGGCCAGAAGCAGAAGCTTCAGACGGTTTTGGAGGCCGTCAACGAACTGCTGAGGCCTCACGGCTGGACCATTGAATGGAGTGTGGACTGTGGGTTTTACATAGACTTCAGTGACTTTGATTTTAAATACCCCACTTTCATAAAGCAACAGTGGCTTTAACAAAAATACTGGAGCCTACATTTCCCATAATGAAACTCTTTCATTTGGTTGTCCCTGTCTTTTAAATGCCCATTTCCTTCAAACTCCACACCTCCATTTTGTAATGTAGGGTTTTTATATAAAATTGAGTCTCAAGCTAAGATAACCATAATGACATCACTATGACATTATTGCGGTTGTATTGTCAAACTTTATTTTACAGGCTGTTTAGTATTCCTTGTGAAAAGCAAACTAAACTTAATGTGTAACATTGGTGGAGTGCCCCTTAAACACATAACTGACTCTGTCCTTACAAATGGAGAGTAAGAACTCCAGAAAAAATAAGGAGTTAAATTAATTCATGCTTCATTAACTGCTCTTTGGCAGCTTTTAAATTTTTCTTTTGTCCCTGATAAAAGCATTCCACGTTGTTTTATCTTTAGAAAAGTGCTCACATATTTCTGTTAGCTTGCAGCTGACAGTCCTCTTGTGTGATTTACTGTTACAGCTATCCATTCAAAGAACCTGGTGGCTATTGTCTATCTGCTGGTGGCTCTCGCGATGCACTTCCAGGCCCCCATCAGGCTGCCTGAGCATGTTTCTGTGCAGGTGGTGGTAGTCAAGGTAAAGTGATTCATCAGGTCTCAAATGTGTAGTGTTATTTATTTATTTATTTTAATTTAATTTTCATTTAACACCTACTGAGATGAATAATCTCTTTACAGATAGGCAGCAACAGCAGTGAGTTACAGACTAACAACATGAGACAAATGATGCAAACAAATGCCTCAAAATTCAACAAAAATATGTTTATAAAATCCAAAATAAAATGTCTAATGCAATCATTTCATCTTACAAATTGCCTAAATGGAACCTTAAAACAACCCAAAAACTGTCTAAAACTATACAGATAACTAAGACTTGTCCAAAACAGCAATATAATGAGGCTAACACATAATGGTGAAATAGTGTCGTCTTTTTTCATATTTTTCATCATCTTGTCTGTATGTATGTGTAATTTTCATAACGTGCATCAACAATTCTAGTTGTTGTCTCATGTAGAAACTGAAGCATTTTTAATTTTGTTTGAGCAGAAACGAGAGGGCATCCTGCAGACTGCTCTTGTAACCAAGGAGCTGACGAGCACCACAGAGTAAGAGCTGATACAGTTTCATTAACAATTTTATCCAAAATCGTCCTCTTCTTATATATCAATGTTGTAATGTAAAGTATTAATAATGTTTATTCTAGTATAAGAATAGTTTTTCAAATTTCTCTCTCTTCAAATGTCTCTATTTTTTTGTTTTTCAGAATGATGTTGGGAAGGTTTGGTGAGTCCCAGTATTATGGAAATGTACCTTCACTTTCATTGTTTCTTTATTTATCGGCTTAAAGATCCAGTGTATAACATTTAGGAGGAAATATTGTCAGAAATAGAAAATAATATTCATAGGTATGTTTTCATTAGAGTATAATCACCTTAAAATAAGAATCAGTGTTTTCATTAGTAGTACAAGGAGTAGTTAAAGGAATAGTTCACCATTTTGGGAAATTTGTTGTTCGCTTTCTAGCTGAAAGTTAGATGAGACTCTCATGGCTGTTTGTTTGCCAGGAGATGGTAAGCATTAACATAAAGACTGGACATGGGGAAACAAGCAAGTCTGTCTCTGTCCAAAAGTAGCAAAATCTACCTCTTGGCACCTCTAAAGCTCGCTGATTAACATATTATATCGTAAGATGCAGTTTTACGGTTGTTGTTCAACTGATGTTCCATGGCAGCGGAGAGGAAGTCACTCCTCTTGGCCAAGAAACTAGAGGTGCTGGTATGGGGGATTTTTTTTTTTTACCTTTGGCATGGTCAGGCTAGCTGTTTCCAACTATTCCGTCATTATGCTAAGCTAAGCTAACCATCTGCTGGCTGTATAATTATATACTTACAGAACAGATATGAAAGTGGAATCTTCTTATCTTTCTGACACCTTTGACATTTCCCAAAATGTCCTTTAAGTATTCATAACCTGTGAATCCTTTGTTTTACAACAGAGAGGGATGCATTTGACACTTTGTTGGATCATGCACCTGACAAGCTCAACGTAGTAAAAACGGTATTCAAGACTTTTTATTTGCATGGATAGTATAATCACATTAAGTTAGTTTTTAATTGTATTATGAAAATGATTAATAGTTTGTTGATCTTCTTACCAGTCTCTCATCACCTTCGTGAACAAACACCTGAACAAGCTGAACCTGGAAGTTACTGAGCTGGAAACTCAGGTCAGAGATCCAGTCAATTATTAAAATGATCATTAGTGGTAAAGTATATGTATGTGATTTCAGTATATATATTTCTGTATATAAATATATATATATATATATATACATGTGTGTGTGTGTCCAGTTTGCAGATGGAGTGTACCTGGTATTGCTGATGGGACTGCTAGAAGACTACTTTGTCCCTCTGTACAACTTCTTCCTCACCCCTGAGAGCTTTGAACAGAAGGTGATTACACCGCAAAAAAGTGAAATGTGTTTTTAGCAACTTATCAGTACATTGAGTTTCCATTTTGTGTCCCCCTCAGGTCCACAATGTGGCGTTTGCCTTTGAGCTGATGCAGGACGGAGGCCTGAAGAAACCCAAAGCCAGACCAGAAGGTATTTTATGACATGTGTTACAGAAATATTACATTATTGCAAGAGCAGATAAAACACATAAAACGTGACTTTGAGGAGACTTTACGGAGGCTGTGAGGGAGGGAGCTGGCAGGCATGAGGAGTCAGGGGTACATTTTCAAATATTTTTATTTACCAAAATTAAACAACCAATTTACAAAATATTCAGTAAAGTTATGAGCCAATAAAATAATTTGTTAAAGAAATAACAACAAAACTCAAACTACAAACACATCAACCCTCGCCATGATCCAGGTGAACGTGGCGCAGTCCAGTTATCAGTCAACCCCTTTGAAGCAGGTCTGATTCAGCCAGCACTCCCTTTTGTTGACCAGCAGACACCTCCAGCAGCGACCCCCAGGAACTCTTAACTCAAAGAAACTGAATTTATTTCATGGAAAAATGACCTAAATGAATTAACCTAATAATATTACCAAAATTGACAAAGTTAACTTAATGTGGCACCCAAATAGATAACTACTTGTCAAAAATGGCTGATAAAACTGTGTGTTATGAAAGCAAAATCGGTATATCCAGTTATTTATTGTGCATTGTGCATGATGTGCTAAAACCTAAAGATAATGAAACAAATGAAAGAGTTTCCACCATGTGCTCCGTTCAGTGTGTGGCTGCTAGTGTGGCCATCACAGAGGCTGATTGAGATTATAGGTCTGTTGGTGTTGAATGGTTGACTTCCTACAGTAGCAGTCATATTAAAGGTCGTCCAGTAGATGGAAACCTTGCCTCGCCCTTAAACTCTTATGGATGTTGCTGAGTTCATCCAGCCTTGAGCTACACTATGTTGTCCAGTTTGGATAAACAAGCCTGTTTTGTAACAGCCTATAATTGAAGAATCAAATTATGACTGGGTTCAAGTAGTTGCCATTATGATGATTTAGTTTAATTATTAGTTTTCCCTGTTTTTATAGAGACTTGCATTTTATCAGCCCATTATACTCTTCATGCCCCGTGTAAAGCAAATGCTATTATTAAAAAATTGGAAGTAACTTCCAGAATCTAATACAGCTGACTGATCTCGTACTTAAACTGTAATCAGGCCTTCAAATTAATATAAGGTATTGTTGGTCACTTAAATTCTTTGATGTACAGATAACTACTTTTTACGAGTATCCAAGTAAAATGTGTCAATATCCCTATCCCTTGATCTATAAATAATTATTTCTCTTGTGATCAGAAACATTACTCTGAAGCTCAGTTCTGAGGCTGTTCGCTAAATAGGTTTCTAACAAATATAGCAACTTCTGATAGACCCATATAAATGTAAATTAAAGCCCCTGCCCATTCCAAGTACAGATGCAAATACAGATCATTTAGTTGGTTGAACAGATACAGATAATGGTAATAGTGTACTCGCTCACCCCTATACAGTATACTTCTCTCTTGTATACATTTGCATCCTTTTATTTTAAGTTATTTTTAATAACTTGCATATATTCTGCTACTTAATGCATTGTACATTCTTTTACTTTTGTTCTTTTTCTGAGTTGCTTTTAATTGTTCCTATGCTGTTTCTCTCCATGCTGTATTAATGCAAATGCTTTTCCTGACAAAGTAAGAGGAAAAACATGTCTTTGCGCATAAAAAACACTTTCAATTACAGCACACAATTTCTGCAGTAATTGGACATTATAGCTATTATCTTCATAGCTACATAACTGCACTCCTACTACAGCATATGTGTTCTGATGTGGATAATAAGGAGCTTAAGGAACCCTAGTTTAAATGGTGATGCGGTGGCTCTGCTGCAAAAAAATTGGTGTCTGGCTTGAATCACTTAAAGACCTAGTTGTGATGAGAAATTACAATAAGCAAATAAGCACTTTATAGTACACCATGTTACTGACAAAGAGAACAGAAAGTATTTCTGAGCCTTTGAATCTCTTCTGGTAAGAAGTAATACATCATATGATAATCATTTGCAAATTCTCTGGAGCTATTTTAAGCTCCATTTCATCTCCAAAATTGTAACCTTTTGAAGGAAAGTAGTCCAATAGCAATCATAGGAGAAGCTCCTTTGCATTGTAAATATGATTTTATGGTAGCACGGCCCATTTATTTTGTACTTAAGCGTTCCAAGGATACATTTCTTTCTTATAACATTAGTTTTGTTCATGTCAAAGGTCTACATTTTCTTCCTGAAACTTCACAAAACAGTTTAAGTTCAGCAAAGTCTCATGATCTCTACTGTCCCTATTCTGTTTTCCAGATGTCGTCAACCTGAACCTCAAGTCCACCCTCAGAGTCCTCTACAACTTATTCACCAACTACAAAAACTCTGAGTGAACTTTTCCAGTTTCTGATATTCCCCTGATATTACTTTGAACACTGCCCTGTGCCTGCCTTAATATTATGCATTACAGTCTGGACACTGGAGGAGACCAACTGGGACTGAAAGTCATCATTATGTGGGACTTAACAAGACAAATGGGGAGTAGCTTGAAAAAGGCTCTGAATGTTAGTATTTAATCTTCCCCAAATGTCAGTATTTATTTATTCCTTCCTCCAATGTTTCTGCAACCCAGGAAACCCTGCAACCTTTAGCCTGCATTTGAATACAGAGTTGTCACTGGAAAAATGAATGAGGGCAGATTGTTAAAACTGGAAAACATTTGTGTGTTGAACTCAACTCTTCTCCATATAATTTTAAGAAAGTTTTATTTAAGAAAGTTGAAAGTGCTGTTATACATCATAGGTTATCATATCTAAAAATGCTTTGTGTAAATATTAAAAGAATAGTTCAACATTTTGGGAAATACACGTATTTGCTGGGTTCCATGAGAAGATCGATAACCCCTCTAATGTTTGTATGCCAAATATCAAGCTAACATTAGAGCTAGCAGCCATTAGCTTAGCTTATTATGAAGACAGGAGAAAACTAATCTGGCTCTGTTCAAAAAAATCTCGTTTATTTAATCTGTTTTTAAAAAAAGTGTAAAAACAGAAGTAGTTAATTCTTGTTAATTTGAATTGGTTAGAAAATAAATGAATTATTATTTACTGTTCATAGCATTACAGTTTAAAACATTTAGATATAGATTTTTAATGTAGCTTAATGCATGAATTTCACTAGTCAAACGCTGTTACTGCTACTCTAACTTTAGCAACAGTTTAGCTGCTTTCCAGCTCCTTCATGACCGGATTAAGATTCCTGCTTCCTTTAGCTATGTGGAAAATAAACACACTTACCAAGATGTCAGTTAATCTAAATAACTAAATACAGATAACAGCTAGGGCAAAAAAAAACTGAGTAAACTTAGTTTTGGCTTTAGCTAAGGCTAGCTGTGGCTGGGGTTGCCAACTGTCCTGTGAAATACAGAATCGTCCGTAAAAGACATTTACGGGCTTTGCTCCGTATTTCTGAGAATCAGTTCAGTGCAAATCTATGGGAGAGAAATATTACAGGTTAGATTACTAAAACATTGAACCTATCGTGACGTCCCCCATTGGTTTATGAAGTCCGGTTTTGAAGCCTACATTTTTGGCCATGACAGTTTGTTGGAGCCAGCGGAGGTGACGTACTGCGAGTTGAGCTCCTCTCACTGGCTGCGCAGTTTCAAGTTTCGTCCATAGCAGGAAACAATGGTGGCTCGTCTGCTCACACACAATTTCGCATTACAGATAAACGGTACACTAAAATTTGTTTCTGAGATGATTTTAGGTGAGAAATAGGCAACATAGTAACAGAATCTTGATTCATATTTGACCAGCGATGCTTAGCTTGACAGTTCGATTCGAGTTTGATGCTTTGCACTGGGCAGACTCACTGAAAATACCTGTCAATCACAAGATAGCCACGCCCAAAAGCATACTTTGGCTTTATTGTCTATTTTACTCTAAATGGGACCATAATTTACTAAATGAACATCATGCCGTATGAAAGAAAACTTAAAACTAGCGTTACTGAGCTAACAAATCAAGTAAGAAGTCGGTTCATTTCTCCATAAGAGTGCATGGTATCGTTCCTTTAATGCAGCCAATTGAGCTGTCCCCTGCTGGCCTTTACATAGAATGCAGGTTTAAGACACATCCGCATTGGCTTCGCTTCCCAGACCCGGAAGCTCTGTCCATTATACTGTATATACTGTTGATAGTCTTAACTCAGTTTGGATAGCCAAACTGTTTCCCCTTTGTTTTCATCTTTAAGCAATAAGCTAAGCTAACCTGCGGCTGGCTGTAGCTTCATATTTAATGGACAGATAGTCTTATCTAACTCTTGATAAGAAAGCGAATAAGCATATTTCCCAAAATGTTTAGCTATTCCTTTAAGAAACTTGAAAATGCTATCTATTATATATTATATAATATCTGAAAATGCTTTGCATATTGTTACTATAGCTATATATTTACACTTTATACATATGCTATGATATTGCTTTTATTCAGCAGCTGAAGGAACTGTGAACAGTTCTTGTTTACTCTGAACTATACAAACAACATTTCAAGCCATATGTAATAGCTGATGCTGTTGCCTTCTGCCTTAAGTGCAGTACGTGCTCTCGCCATCCCAGGAGAGCCCCAGTCAGAGTATTTTCATATTGACTGGCCTTTCAGACGAGTCTCAGAGGAAGACTGGACCTCTCACGGCTCTTCTGAAGCAGAGCTGGCCCTGCGGTGTCACCTGGAGGCCTGCTAAGATGTACAGTACACCACTACTCATCTATTTTAGAGCCTGGCTGAATTATTGAGAGTGGACGAGTCAATCTAAACAGTGCTCGCACTGGATGGCTCACCCCTGTGTTTTTTATTTTATTTTGCCAATCAAGAAATAAATGCTTGGAATCAAAGAGAATGAGAATTTCATTTTATCTCTCACTTGTGTGATAGGTTAGATTTGCTTCGGCTTTTGAGCGAGATTGGCTTTGGAACAGCCAATTCCTGCAATTTGGGTTTAGCTAAAAGAATTATGGGTTTATTTTAGGCCTTTATTTTCTTGTCTCATTCCTTTGTTGCTATGGTAACCTCCACATCCCCCAAATTGCCCCTTCGTCTGGCTGATGGGTGGTCCTTTTTTCTTTTCTTCAACAAGGCCGGTGCACATACAGAGCTGGCTGTTTTGTTGTCTCTTTTTTTTTTTCTTTTGGTGTGTTTGTTGGAGAATGGAGAAGGCTGGAGACCAGATGACAGCAAATTGATCCGGTCACAGACGGAGACGTGTGAGTCGAGCCTGAGTGGTTCAGGCCTCCGAGTGTCACGTTTCTCTTGGCCCTCCTGAAGTGTGGTTGTCTAAACAATACATTTGTACCCAAGAGTGTTCCCTGTTTTCTTCCTCTCGGCACATACTTACTATTAAAGTCTCAAATGCAGTTCGTGACAGAGGACATAAACGCCCTTATCTGAAAACACTGTGTAAAGCCAGTATCAAAAAAGAGGAAGTGTTACCTTCTTCTCTACCACATCCTCTCATTTGTGCTTATCTTCCCTTTCGACCCAGTGACATGTTATTTTCTTTTAAAGCAACGGTTTGAAATTGAGTGCAGTCAGACCTTTTGTGCTGACAGAATTCACAAGAGGCTCTATTCAGATTGAGTACAGCCCTCCACTTCTTATATCGCTGTTTTGACAGGAGTTGACATCAGTTAAGGGAACTCAATTCAGCTGAAGTCACCCGATTCTGTCGAGTCGGCCTCGGAGTGCTGAAGGTAAGCTTATTCAAAAACACTTTTTGTTTATGACCTTGTTTGAAAGTTACTGTCAACCTCAGGAAAAGGAAGCCGTACACACATAAAACACACAGGAAAAGAAAAGTTGCTCACCAAGGCTTTTTTCTTCGCCAGATCCAGGAAACAACAGCGTGACACGCTCCAGGTCACATCTTTGTCAGACTGTGATACTTTATGTGCTTGCTGTGCTTTGTCTCAGACCATATGATTCAAAATGTTCAGAGAAAGGTGCAGCCCTGCAGATCTGTGGGGATATACAGTACTTGATCTGTTTATCTGCTAAAAAAAGAGAAAAGGAAGTGAGGAAACAAGGCTTCCTTTTTTTTTAGTTCAGTTAGATTTTTTGCCCCAGTGTTTTTCGAAACTTCTTAACAACCTCAGTCATAAAATAAAAAAAAACGTACAAAAGCCAACTCTAGAAATGCATTGATGCAAAAATTCACACAATTATAAGCTGCCTGGCAGTCACCATCATCCACTGCTGGTCAGTGAGTAAGTCTCCCTGCAGCAGTTGAAAGTTGAGCAATGTGGTCAAGTAGCCCCTGTTGGGAGAGAGACTTTCTGCCAAAGTGTTTCTTCTGTTTTTTTTGTGGTTTATATTTAAGTGCTTCTTCTCATAGTTGACTCCTCTGCAGGTTTTGTTGACAGGTGGTGAAAATCTCACCTCAAGGAGAAGCAATGGAGGCTAGCATCTTTGAGTATCACAAAGAGGAGGACACTGTGGACATTGAGTCTTTTCAGGGTATGTGTGCGTTCAGTCAACCGCTAAATATCCAGTGCTACCCACCTATTAAATCAATCAGTCAGTCATGAAATGTATTAGGCTCACAGGTATTTTCACAGGTTGTTGTGGTGCTTATTTACACATTTATTTAGAGTCATGTTTTTTGGCCATCTGATGAATGTAAGTCCAACGTTCACTTTCTTTTAGCTCAGTCTTTGGTCTCCACCTTTTGGGGGCAATATCTGCTAAATGTTCTGCTATGTTCACCAGCTAATTGCTAGGTCTGTTTGCCATTTTTCTGGTGGGTTTATCAGGGTTGGTTTTTATTTTTTCTGGAAACCATTGTGTTGAGAGCATTGAGTGGATAAAAAGAGTTGGTTTGTGGTAGGCCTGCAATACCAGGCGATCAGAGATCTCAGTGCCTACCAATCATCTGGGGATTTCTAAATGCAAAGTAGTTTCTTGAATGGCAGCAAGAATGGCTGCTAACAAATATACACCCCTTACTTCAAAGACACGGCTTACCTGAAACGTTGCTCTCCCACCATTCTCCTCTGCAGTTAAACAGCGGAGATATAGTGAATAACGTAGTAAGCTTTTTAAAATATTCAAAATTGATGTCCCAAGCAACGTTATATGATATGACATATTTAACTCTTTAATTATTTCCACCCAGTTTCATCAACAACAACTCTATGGATTGAAGCGTTTAGAGACTAGTGAGTCTAAGTTGTTGGCCATGACATCTTTTTTTATTTTACATATTTATTTGATCTGTAGTTAATATGAACTTCGTTAAACAGCAATACTGTGATGAATGCAGTCTAAAATCTGGTGAGATTTTATTTTTATTTTTTTTTTACAATAAATAAAATACTAAAGGCTGAAAGTGGTAGAAATGATAAGAGAGCTGACGCTAAATTATAGCATGTAAAAGGATTTACAAAATAACAAAAAATACTATTTGACCAATGCAGTTTGTCTGTATTCACACAGGAGAGAAGCAGAAGCTTATTCAGCCATCATCTTTAAAAGACCCCAAGCTTGAAAAGCTAAAGGAGGTAAGAGATTAATTCCTGTATCCTACATATAGACCTCTGTCTCCTATTCAACGTTTACTGTAACATCAATGCTGGTCCTGGTCCAAGTGAATCCTGAGTGGGCTGGAGATAAATGCTATACAGGAAATACATTACAGAGCCTGCATGTATGTGTGCAGCGAAGAGCATGAATAATGTCTGATGCGGGGAGAGTGGTGGAAGGATCAGTGAAAATTTAATGAACATAATTAACAGAGGTGATGGGAGACAGATCAGTGAGTCGTGGCAAGGAGTTGGCAGAGTCTGCTGGATCTGACTTTAAAACACATTTCGACTGGAAAAGATGGGAGCACAAGTGCTTCATGCAAGTGGCAATGAATGAATAAATGAATAAATAACTCAATAAGCCTGATATGTCTCATATGTAGAGTTAGGAGGACAAACAAATAAAACATTGGTTATTTTGGGAGCGTATTTGTCATCATTTCCATCTGCGTCAGGATAATATTATCTCGGAAAATTGATAATGAATTAAAAAAAATAGGTTTCATGCTGTTTTTTTTGTAACAAGAAAATGAACAGGTTTGATGTATCTGACTGTGCTATGAATTATGTCTTGGTAGGCATTGGTTTGTTGGATCAATAGCACTTTGAAACTGGAGCACATAGTGGTTCAGAGTCTGGAGGAGGATCTGTATGATGGACTTGTGCTTAATCACTTGCTGTGTGAGTAAATACACATTTATCGCCTTATTTCCGCCTAATCAGTATTTACATTTGAAGATGAGAACCAACAAATGTTTACCCTTGTAGTTCAGATGAAAGCTGTCATTTCTAATATCCAAAACGCAGTCCTTGCCAGTAAAACCTTACAGATGATAATTTTATGATTTCCACAGCCACGTTGGCTGGTGTGCACTTGTCGGTGGAGGAGATGGCACTGACCAGCACGGCTCAGATCCACAAGCTGGAAGTGGTCCTGAAGGAGTTGGACAAGAGACTGGGCCTCCAGGACAGCAGCCAGATCAAGTGGAACGTCAAACGTGAGTCATGCAGCTGACTGGGCTTCAGCACCGAAGCAACAAGTGAACAAATGTTCTGTTCTTCTGGCAATGACTTCGGATTACAGCAGGATTTGGTGCTAGCTCAAGGGTGCCATGTTAGCCTACACCAACTGTGAGGGATTTTGGTGGAGATAAAATTTACTGACATTATGGGGTTCAGTTTTACTCAACTGTCAGGGGATTCTTTTTTCTGGTGCTGGGTTATGGAAGCAAAGAAGCACCACAATAATAATTTAAATGTTATAAGCATCTGAACGCCAAACTGTGAAATTCAAGTGTTTGGATTTTCACCCATCTGAACTTTTCCTTCATGAATCACATGACAGAAAGGAAGGAAGTCTGATCGATTCCATTCAGGCTCGAGAGCTTGTCCTTGGTGGCCTGGATGTCCAAATTGAGCATCTTGACTATTTTTTGGTTAAATTTAGATTTTATTAAAACTCTGATTTTGTTTCTAGGTTGATTTGCTGACACTTGCAGTTAAGTGCATTTACAACAAACACTCATTGAGCAGCTAATTCGACAGAAAAACAAAAGAAAGAGCAGCTGGAGAATCTGTTTACAGTGCAACCAAACAAACAGTTGTTTTTGATGAAGAAGTCAGTCAATAATCAGCCTTATTCCATCATATCATGAGCAACCACGATCTGATTTGATGTTATGCACGATACAAGTAGTTTTCCACACAACAGCAGGGTGCAGTTAAGTTGGTTACCTTGCTGAGAAACTGGACATGTGCAGCCTGTTGTCTACTTGTTCCATTAGTACCTGCAATAAAAAAGAAAAGAAAAAAAAGAATGGGGCATAAATTAAGAGTGTGCCCACTTCTCAAGGCACCACTACACCACGGGAGGAAGGGTAACTACAGAATGTATACATATATATAAAGGCTGTTGCTGAACAAACATAAATAGGGTTTGATTTCATGGAAATCACAAGGATTATAAATGAATAAATAAAAGTATTCAGTAGTAATTAGGTTTTCATTTGTTAATAAGATTCTGATCCTTTTGGCCTTTCTTTGTTGATTTACTGGGAGGTGGTGAGTTCTGTTACTGTATATCAAAGAAAGTTGTATTTTTTTCTGTGTTTTGTTTCCTGCTGCTCGCCTGTCAGTCATCCACAACAAAGACCTTCTGGCCACTATTCATCTGCTGGTTGCCATGGTGAGATGTTTCCAGCCTGAACTGGATTTGCCACCAAATGTGAAGGTTGAAGTTGTAGTTGTGGAAGTGAGTTTCATCTTGAGCTTCAGCACCTTTTTTTCTGTCTTGAGCACACCTTGTGGAATTGCTACTCAATTTTGGTTTACTTTAATTTTCATCCAGGTCAGCAGAAGTGGAATCAAATCAGATGTACAGACGGAGGTCCTAACATTGGAAAGGTGAGCAGATTTCTGCCCTTTGTAATTCTGTTGATGTGAGAAAAACACAGCGTTCACCTCATATTGGCTTCGTCTTTTTCAACAGAAATGCAGGCTCAGAGTCCCTCAGCAATACTGAAGGTGAGTAAAGAGCAGTCGGGGGTTGAGCCGATTTGACATCTTGAATGTCATCGAAGCAGCATTACAGCCTACGGTGACTTTAACACACTTTTCTGTTCTGTCTGGTTACCCCAGGGGAAGAACCCATCGAGCAACTGCTGAAGCTTGAGGCTCACAAGGTCAACACGGTGAAGCAGGTATAACAGGGAGAGGAAGAGAAGTGCTGAGGTAGTTTAAGCAGTTAACTCTCTCATCTCCGCTTGCAGTGAGACAGCAAAGTAACACTTGTGGCCTTAACTTAAAAACCTGTAAGCAAGATGAATTTACAGTTTACTATATGCCTGATTTTAGTATGGATCAAATAGATATCTAGTATCTGGTATTTTGTAGTACTTGTGAATGGATCAAAGTATTCTAACAAATTATCATTTTTAAGCAGGATTGGAAGTAAAAATCAGTTTTTATATATTGATATTTTTTTTAGTAATCATGATTAATCGTTTGATGTATAGCATGTCATGACATAGTTAAAAATGCCCTTCACATGTTTCTAAAGCTCAAGGGGATGCCGTCATATTGCTTTTTGTTTGACCAACAGTCCATAATGTAATGATGATTAATTTATTAGTGGCTTCAACAATTCATTATCAAAATAGTTGCCAGTTAAAGGTCCAGTGTGTAGGACTAAATGTCATCTAGTAGTGTAGTTGCAGATTGCGACTCCCCCAGGCTTCTGTAGAAACATGGCGATATAACATGGCGGACTCTGTAGAAGAGGACCAGCTCCCACTGTAGCTAAAATGACTTATTCTAAGGTAACGAAAACACAACCATTCCTCTATTCAGGTGATTATAAACTAATGAAAACATAGTCATGCATATTATATTCCATTTCTGCCAATAATCCTCCTAAATGTTACGTACTGAACCTTTAATTTTCTGTTGATTGAGAAATCAATGAATCAACAAATTGTTTCAGCTCTAATTTCAAGCAGGGCTGCTACTAATTATTATAAGCTGATATCATTTGATTCATAATTACGCAGAGCCCAAGGTGAAATCTGCATTACAACAGTCCAAACCCCAAAATATTCACTTTACAAAGATGTACAACACTGAGCAATTGTTCTTGATTAAGACATAAACAGTTAACTGACTATGAAAATTGTTCAATCATCTAATTAATTCACTTAGCTCACTCAGCTATTCACTCTGACCTTTTTATACTTTAAAAAAAAACAAAGCAAGACAACACGGCAACACAAGACAGATGCGTACATATGCAAATATATATAAATATGCACATAAATACATACATATACATATATATCCACACAAAACCTGCAATCATAGTATCTTTTTGGCCCTCGAGGGCAGTGGAACTAAGAATGCAACACTGATGTATTCACCTTTTAAGTTTCTTCCAAGAGCAACGCAATCATATAGTTGGAGTTGTGCCACCTGATGAAGCACAATATTCACTTTCTTTTAGCTCTGTTTTTTGTTTAACAAGTCTTGAGGGAGCCTTTCTGGCTGCCCCCTTGTTCTGACTAAATAATGTCCAACCATGCAGGTAACAAGAGAGCACATGGGGACTCCCTGCAAGCATTTATTTTTATTTTCTTTATTATAATTCTTCTGACTCTATAAACTAAAGCTTTTGTCAGGTTTTGATGAAGAATGAAACACATGTAATACCATAATATGCCAACTAAATAAAGCCAGTGTGTATTTCAAACTGCCTGAACTTAGTTTTTCTATTTTCAGGCGATCTTACACTTTGTCAACCAGAATATGTCAACCATGGGTCTACAGGTGGCTGATATGGACAAACAGGTAGGAAAAACACAATAACAATAGCTGAACACTGCTTTGGAGCACTGGCTGACTCTCCTGAGTAACTGATTACTCCTTCAGAGATTGTATCACCTTTCTTGGATGGTCTCCAATGTGTTGTGTGTTTTCCGTCTAGTTTTCTGACGGTGTGATTCTGCTGCTGCTGATCGGGCAGTTGGAAGGCTTCTTCATCCCTCTCTGTGACTTCAACCTGACCCCTGTCAATCCCTCTGAGATGGTACGGTATGGATTCAATATGGATTCCTGACACATTAGAAAGGGAAGAGCTTCCTTAGAGAGGTGATCAGTTAACATTGGACAGAGACACAACACCTAACTTTAGTAGTATGTATCATCACCATCATTGTTCTGCCTCTAGATGCTCACAGATGATGTGGGTTTCATTTGCAACATACTATTCATTAAATAATCAATTGGTCAAAAGAGAAACGACCAATTTCAATTAGAATTAATTTAATTTCTGACTGATATTTTATGAAAGTGTAGATATATCTCACTCACTGCATTATTCTAATTCAAAAGTACTAATAGCATAATACACTTTTTTTTCATTTCTAATTTGATCTTATCTAATTTCCCTCAAGAGCACAGTAGATAATGGGCTCCAGTACAGAAACCTGATCCAAAACTCTGTCTATTACAATATATTATATGATAAAATTAATATTTTACAATTCCCATAATAAAAGTAGATGCATAATTACTACTATGTCATTGCTCACTTATAATGATATCTTTGATCTGACTTTACTTGAAGCAATGAGTCTATGAAAAAGATATGACTCTTTTATCACAGATATGACTTTATGAATAACTTGCTATATAAAGACACTGTGACACTACATATTAGACTTTTTTGATATAATAAAAACTAAAAAGTTTCTGGTGATAAACACATATATTAAAATAAAATTAGATTATGTCTCTCAAAGCTTTATAATGTGTTTATAACGTCTGTGTGATGATTTATAATTCCACAATATGGCCTACATATGATATTTAATTATTATAAAATCATCGAAACTCAACAAATATACAAAATTGAACTGAATGATAAGCAGCTCATTTTATCCATTAAAGGACAAGAAATCAACAGTTTGGCAAATATGTGGGGGTTTTTTTACACATTTTCTTCCCAAGAGTAGGTGAGAAGATTGACTTTTATGACAGTGGTATCAATCTCCTCTTGGCAAAACAGAAAATAAAATGGAACCAAAGCCCAACATTTTCAAGGCTTAGTGAAAAGTAACACTTAAAACACAAAAAATGGTAACACTTAAAATGTATTTGCTGTCTTTCATCACCTCTATTGCCATATCTCTGTTTTTTGGTTAACTTTTAACTTTTTTATTGAAACAGTTCACAGGTTGCTCATACTACTGCCATATCTACTGTCTTAGTTTGAAATCCTGACACTTCTAAAACAAGTTAAAACTAACTCATCATTTAACTAAATTACAGTTTATATTTCATTTTAGTATAATAAATATATAATAATAAGTATGATAAATAGTTATTATAGTTATTATATAGGCCTACCAATAACCAATAACCACAGCAAGCATAATATATCACCACACATATGAAGGTATTACTAAAAGTGTTACCAAAAGAAATATACTGTAAATATAAAATATATAATTATTTATATTCTAATTTGTTTGTCTGGATTTTGTGTTTGACATTTGTGTTTCTTCGACATCTAGCTTCACAATGTGACCTTGGCCTTGGACCTCCTTAATGACACAGGCCTTCAAGTGTCCAGTGTGGAACCACAAGGTGAGGAAATACACACTGTTCACACAATAATACACACCCTGCCTTGTCGACAACAGATCTGACTCAAATTAAAATGCCAGGCACAGAATATGATAAAAAAAAAAAAAAACAGAAAATAATTGGAACAGAAAAAAAAAAAAATATATCCTGGAGCTCCAAGACAGCAATGTCAAACTAATTCAGATGATATCCTCTATCACGAGCATTCATCTGTATGACAGGGAAACGCCAAAATCTGTTTGTATGTGAGGCGGGGAGGGGGATTGCTCCGGTAGTTTGAGTTAATCTCAACTGCTCGGTGGAGTGTGGGTTTGACAGTGTTTTGGAGGGAAAAATGGAATTGCTTGCGGAATATGAATGAGTGCGACTTGTGTCTCTCCGAGTATCACTGCAGATGATTGGCTCAGTCCAGGGTCATCATCATTCATTTAGAGTGGAGCAGTGAGGGAGACGGTCTCAAGGGGACGATGTCACTGTGGTGCCCGCTGATAGACACGCCGCTGTGGCTATATCTACTGTTTGAATGTGTGTGTGTGTGTGTGTGTGTGTGTGTGTTTGTCTGTGTTTGTCTGTGTGTGTGTGTTTGTGTGTGTGTGTGTGTGTGTGTGTGTGTCTGTGTGTTTGTCTGTGTGTGTGTCTGTGTGTGTGTGTGTGTGTGTGTTTGTCTGGAGGAAGATATGTAATCTGTATTCATGAGCACTGCTAGTGTATACCACCCAGTTATCAGACAGACAGAAATATACTGATTGTATCTGTGCAGTAAAATTTTGTGTTTGTCAGTTTCAACTTGCATCTGTTATCAAATTTCCAACTGTAAAATCACAAGTTCACATTTTGTGGTATAAACTTATAAGTCTGAACGTTCATCTATAATCATACAAAAGTATGAGCATTACATTATTAGCAGATTTTCCACTTGGCATTGTATGTACAGTCTGGAAAGTTTCTGGAAAGTTTTTTCCAAACTTGTTTTATAATATAGTTTTGTGGTATACTGTCCGTTTGTACATTTGGTGAATCAGAAGTCTATTTAAGATAAAAATCACTACATAAACAGTAAAAGGCTACCAATATAACAAAGTAAACAGGATTTGCCTGAAAAATACTTTTTACCATGGAAGATATTTATTGATTTAACATCAAATCCACTCAAGTAGTGAATTTTACAACATGAACTGATGTCGAACTCAGTCTGCTGAAGCCCCATAATAACTTCAAATAAACTTTGAATGTATTCTTGTACAGAACAAGGGATGTGGATTTTGTCCCCCACCATTTGCATTTAATTCGCATTTGTAAAAGATATTTTATTGGCCAGCATGAACAGTAGGAGCGATCTATTTCATTGTACAGACATACAGTTATGTTAAAATGTTCTTCTAACTTCAACCATTTAGGGAAGGCTCTTTCCTGTTTCAAGTCAATTCATTTATAAAGCACAAAAAAAAATTAACCAAAATGCTTTACAGAGAAAAGCAATTTAAATTCAAAATACAATTGAATAACTAAAATAAACTAGGAGTAACTAGTCAAAGGATCTGAGGACTCTGGATGTAGAATAGAGACTGAAGAGTCCATGCAGTGTTTTGAAAAAACAAGTGAGGTCCATAAAAAAATTTTTTCTCCAGATTATTGTGAAAGAACTTGACCAGTCTGCACAGAGTCCTGCGTGCAACCTAATCTAACAGCTTTGGGATGAACTGCAACGCCAGCTGTGTGCCAGGCTTTATCTCCAAGCATCAGTGCCCAACTGAATGGGAGCAAATCCCTGCAGCCAGGTTCCAAAAATCAAAGGCTTAGAAAGCTGTTATAGCAGCATATTAAGGCCTGTGGATTTGGAATGAAATCTTCAGCGATCACATATGGGTGTAAATGTTTGGGTGTCTACTTTTGGCCATGTAGAGTAAATCGATCAATAAAGAGAAGAGTGAAATAGAGTGACTGAGTCAGTGAGTTACCGGCTTGTCTCAGTGTGTGAATCAATCAGTTGCAAATGGATCTACTTCACTTCCCCGCAGATGCATTATTGACAAAATGCTCTGTATTCTTCCTGAGCTTCAATCTCCCTTTCACAATCACTAAAACTTCCCCACAATATTGCCTGGCAGCCATATAGCCAGTAATTGTAAAGTAAATCCTCAACACGCTAACTGTTAATGTAAGGACCAGCACAATTAATCTAAGCCAGGAGCAAATGGCTAATTTAATTCACTTTTAGTGTCTTTTTAATTACCGGCATAATTGCTGTGATGGAATGAGGAATCCCAGCACTCAAGGTCTAAAACTGGAGCGTGCTGCGTGCATTAATTAGGTTAGCGAGTGGTTGAGTCGATCTTTATGTCACATTCATTCAGTTAGTGCATCTCACAACAAAGAGCAATTTTGCTGGGATCTCATCTAACCAAGGACGTATTGATTACATCTCCATCTAATGTTGTTTTTTTTTATCCTCCTGATCTATGACCTGTTAGGATGGATTGTGAGAATAGTTATAATCTAATGTTGGTAAAAGCATCCTTATGTTTTCACTGCCTCATTGCCTTGGTAGATGCTGATGGTGCATACTTACTAAATGTTTCCTGTGGCTCATGTGACAGATATTGTCTCTCAGGACATCGCTGCCACCTTGAAGGTCCTGTACGCCCTGTTCAAGAAGCACAAAGGGAAAAAATGAGAGACAAGAGAAGAGGAAGTCATCAACCAGAAATACAAAGAGCGGAAGAGAGGTGGAGTGTTTGGTCAGCTTGTGGTTTCTTTGGTCTCTAAACTGTTGCAAATGCAAACGTACATGTAATTATTTCAAGGGGGACGTTTGACTGTTTATAGGCATTTCTCTGATGCTCTCATGCTAGTGTAAAATAAGTGCAAGAAGCTTAAATAATGTTAATGAGTCACGCATGATCAAGGATAGCCCTTTCTAAGATCAGCATTTATGACATAAATGAAATGAAATAAACTTATTTTAATTAAAGTTATTTAGTGGTGTTGGAACCAATATGGGTGTTTTTTTGGTTTCTTTTTGAAATAGCGGTTTATATTGTTTGGGTGCTAGTATGCCATGCCTTAGGGGAGCAGTGACATGTTGGTGATGGGTCACGTCACACAATCCAGTAATAAATATCCACAGGGGGGTGGTTTAATAGGTCTTACTTAAAATGGCACAATATAGACTATTAAATGACACAAAACAATAGGATAAAATCTAAATAATGCACAAGCACCAACACAAGAAAGAAGAAAACCACATTCTGCAGTCTACAAACAGCAAGACAAGAGAAGCAAGTGACAAAGGATAACTAAGTTATGCGTGTGGTGTTTCATTCACCACTGTGGGTATTGGTATTGGGCCAATTAGTAAGTCCCCTATGTATGCCTTCATGGTCTGTTGTTGTCAGTGTAAGGACAATAAGGGCTGGAGTATACTCTATCAGAGGTAGGTCGCATGGCGTGTTGTTAAAAAATGCCTTTTCTGAACAGCCATGCTCGAAGTCCAGGGTCAAAAGCCAGTCAGAGTCATCGAGAGAGGGCAGACTCGATGTCTTTTAAAAGTGGGAATAATGGCGCACATTTTCACAGTCTCTCCTGGGAGACATTCATAGTGTTGCACTCGGTTTTTCACATGGAAAGTGAGAATGGAAAAAGAGAGTTCAAACCCTGGCTCCTTTCTCACCTCCGCACAGCTGACCAATCACTGTGTGAAGTGGGTGTGAATTTGAATGAAGCTATTCGACCATCCAACAAGCACTTCTGATAGAGTATACTAGCCCCTTAAAACCACCTTTTGTTTTCCTTTCACATATTTTAAATTTGGTTTGCATTCAGTCAAAATGCATGTGGTGTAGATGTTCGCGTAGCCAAGTGTTATTTCCTAGTAATCGCTTCCTCTCTTCCCCTCTCCATATTTGCTCTTCAGTCTGACACTGCTCGAACATTGTACTTTTCATTCCTGCTATAGAAAAACCATCGTCCTTGACTGCCACTCAGACAATAAACAATGTGAATTTCTGTCTCAGCTTCTTGTGTGTGTTCCCACTGACAGCCTGTGACCTCCTCTCTGTGAATGCAATTGTCGTTTCTCAGAAAAATTGTGGGATTTTTTTTTTTGCTATTGAATTGTTCTGAACTGAATGTCACACACATGTAGAGAGGTTGCAGCAGGCAGCGATAGAGGGAGGCACAGAGAATGAGACACAGACAATAGATGTGATTCCATCAAAGCATATTTTGCTAATTATGAGTAGAAATAAAAGTTGACTAGAACTCGGATAGAATGTCCACTTAAATTATCCTCTGTGTCGCAAAGAGGGGTAATTTCTCTGCTGAAAAAGACATTTATGCAAACCATTAATCCCTTTTTTTCATCAGCAAGTTCCTTAGTGTTAAATAATAATATCTCTTTACCAGTGCTGCCTCTCTGGATTAGTTTTGTGGATGTAGTTTGTGTATTAGCAAATTACAGAGTGAATGTCTTTGTTTTTGTCTCGAGGTTAAAGTATGAAATATAGGGAACATGAAACGGTACACCATTCACTGTTACACTTTTTTATTCTACCAGTTATCTTGCAGATGTGTTTGTTGACATTCAGGAAGCCAATTTATTCGTTTCCACCAAGGTGATGGAAAATACTCTAAATTCACATTTTATTTCCCCTGACATTTCAAAAAATATTTGCTTGGCAGCCAGATGGAAATGTAGCTACTGTATAGAGCGAGGGACAAGCAGAGACAGAGATAGAAAGAGACACTGAGGTGTGTGTTGCTCTTGTTCATAATTTAAATTGGCCATTTCAGCGGACTGTTAAAGTATTATGAAATAAAAATGGCTTTTTGGTTTGTTTTCCAATATACAGACCATGAACTCCTCAACTAGGTAGTTTGTTGAAAATTAAATTGCACATTGCTTTATGAAGGGCAGTATCCATTGTAGTACCTGGTCAAACCATGAATGAACAGAGCTGCAATAAGCATTTTAAGGCTTCTCAAATACAAACTGTAAGGTTATTTCATGGTTACACATAAGTCATATAGGTTTGCTCTAACATTAGGTGGTCCATATAAACATTTGGCACTGTCTTTCTGAATAAACCAATGTTGAGCTTGACATCAAGTTGTATGTGAATGTGAATTTAAATATGTTATGATGAAATTGTTTATATTTACTGAATGTTTGTCAGGAGGGTTTTGACCTTGGGTACAGTCTGTGTCAAGGTTGCTTGGATATGCTTTCAGGGTATAAATTGTATTTTTGGTGAAATAAATTGTTAAAACCTTGGTGGAAATGTCCTTCCTGAAAGAAAGTGTTTGTGCAGAGACATCCAACCCTTCTAATAGAATCTGTAAATGACATGTATTTAACTGTATTCATGAAGCAAAACCAAAAACCTGACCTATTCTTGATCTCTTTTATCACAGGGAGCAGGTCTTGTTTCCCATTTATTTGCTTTCCTGATACGATAGATGCTTTTCTAAACACCATTCTAACATCTATGTGTTAATACTGTGAATATTTGTGCTTTTAAGCTTGCTACCATGAATCAATCAAGATAAGGATGTAAACATGCTCAGGACAATGATACAAGCTGGATAAATCACAGGACAGCATGTGCAAATATTTGCATGTCTTTGGGACACACAACAACATGAGTGAAAGTCAAGAGAGATTAATGAATTTTAGCTACTGTGTGCATATCAGCAAAAAGGTCAGAGCTTAGTCTGTCATCAGTTTCTAATCCATCAAAACAAACAAGGATGAATTTCAGGATAAACGTTTGAGGGATTAAACCTGTTCTGCTCCAGCGACAACACCCTCTTCTTCTTCTATTAGGAGCCCACATCACTACTGACTCCTCAACATTGTAAGACAGTTACTGCATAGGAATACATAACTTATATTGCTTATTAAGCAAGGACTGAGAATAGTTTAGAAATCATTAATACAATTTTGAAACTATTGTCACTTTTATTTTATTTTATTTTATTTTATTGCCTTGGGCGACCACACCAAAGGATTTCTCATAAACTGACCACCTGTTTCAGAGAAAACAAATGCTGTCCATCTGAAATGTTGACAGGAAACATGAGTAATATCTGCCTCCCTTGTCACACTGAGCAGATGCATCTCTCTGTGTATGAAAAGGGGAGCAGAGCTAACAGCAGCATCAGTGAGTATTCAGCTGCTGTAATAAATACGTACATATACGATCTGCCAATAGAGACTCCTAAATGTTGCACACTGGACCTTTAACTGTACGGCTCAATTAAGCCAAACAGTTTGTCGATGTGTTTAATGCAGTTAAATTTATTTGTATAGAATATTTTGTACACTGAACATTACTCAACATAAAAAAGACACAAGATAAAAAAAAATTGAAAAAACTTTGTACGATGTTAAAGTGGCTAATAGTGGTGACTATTTCTACAGAACTTAATCTCATTGTTGGTTTTACTGACCCGTAACTTTACTGTTTGATTCACCTGCATCATTTCCAGCCACAGCAAGTAGCGGTTGTTAGTGAAAGCTATTATAAACCACTGTACAATACAACTACATGGCACACAGACAATGTTAGAGTTGGTTGAAACCAAAACGGAGCCAAAAGGAGAGTAAATACTGTACTTTATCGGGTGAATATAAGTAGTAAATCGATAAATAGACAACTGGTTCCTAACATGTTACCATATCAGCATTCTGAGGTTATATAATATGTCAGTGTGTTGTTTATAGGTTGTTCCTGCAACCCTCAAGTGGTTTTAAAAAAATGCTTATTGAGGGTTTAAGGGGTCTGTTGCTTTGGGTGACACGGAGGAACCTTTACAGACCTACAACTCACCCAGTTACAGGACTGTTCAGAGCACCAGCTTACAATATCCAACTATTTTACTGTTCCCTTTTTCATAATGGGTCTTACATCAGTGTTAAATAATAACAAGCATTTAGTGTGCCGCTACACTGAAGAATCATTATGGAGGTTATGATTATGTTTCAAATGCGCTCACTGTAGAGCAGGAAGGCAGAGGAGGAGGTGTGTATGAAAACTGCAGGAGAGAAATCAGCATTCACTGTATTTACGAGAAAATTATAGTCTTCCTACAAAAAGTGGTAATTTATGATCAGGTTTCAAAAGCTTAAACTAAATTGTATCAGAAGTTACGACATGAGGTCAATCTATTTCTTTGAAAGTAAACAAAGGCCCATAATGTACGCTGAAGATCCTGAATATAAAGCGACCCTGTTGCCATTTTATACATGATCTCTGAAAAAAATCAGTTTCTGCCATTAAAAAATAGTCCATTGGTGACATTTGAATTCTGCCAAAAAAACAAAACAGAAAAACCCAAACAAAGAACCAAGCCCATTATTTTCTCCCAAGAGTGAGCTTGTTATTTTTCTGAAAATAAATTATACTGAATATCCACACTTACTCTGTGGTGCAGTGACCTCAGAGGATATAATGAAGAGTGATTTAAACTAAGTTCTGTTTACCCTCGCTTTTTATGCAACAAACTACTGATCCTCCTGGGGGAAACTTGTCCTCTACATTTGACCCATCCTCAGTATTTATAGTGGGCCGGGGCCTTTAGCAGCAGATACCAAACATGGCGGTCTTTTTAAGTGATACAGCAAGAGGACAGAGGACAGAAAAGGACCAGTAGTGAGAGACCCAGGACTTTCTTACTGCAAAGTCATATAGTGCTGTTTAGCCATCGACCCACCGTTATATGTAATTTAAATTAACTAATTTGCTAAATAAGTTGTTGTGCAGTCAAATTAATATCAGTATTCTCACAGCAATGTAACTGAAGAATTTGTGGTCACAAAGGAATTATTGTGAATTAATTATTAAGATAAAGCAATTTGCACACACAATCAGTTTTTACAGGTTTTTGTCCGTATCTCGACTCTTACATGCTGTGTTGGAGGCAGAAGTAACAGTTATGGTTTCGGAAATCTCAACAAATCTCAACCACCTGCGAGGTGCAGTATTGAGCTTTTGATCAAACTGTACAGTAGGAGAGCCACACTGGAAACCGATATTGATCCAAATGTAATACTGATGCAACACAGGAGATGTTACAGCAATCATCACCATCATCAGTGTTTTTCCATTTGTGGCATAAATCACAAATTAAGTAGATTTTAAGAGCAATTCTTCTTTCTTGTGATTTAAAAATATCTATATCCACACAAGACAAACAGGCCTGAGCCAATTATGCGATACGCTGTTCGTCTAAATCATAGACTGTATTAATAAAAATGACGTAGTCTCTATGACAGCACCCATAAGTTTCTGAAGAGCCTGACTCCACTGGCTCCCGGCTGATTCAAAAATATGCAAAGATGTGGAGCATGGGTGGAGCTAAGGCGGGCTGAATGAAGCCTGGTTGCTGAAACCAGCCGCCTGTGATGAGACACATCTGTCACTCAAAGAAGCTACGCTCTTAATTATGCAAAACTTTAAGCCTCAAAGGTTGAGACTTAAACAATTAGGCGGATCTATTGGCAGAAATGGAAAATAATATTTATAGGCAGGTTTTCATTTGTGTATAATCGCCTGAATATAGGAATCATTGTGTTTTTGTTACCTAGAATGAGTCAGATGGAGCCAATCCTCTTCCACCAAGTCCACCGTGTTTGACCTAGTCCAGCTCCACCTCTATGGACCTACACCTGAATCGTGGTGAGGCATGACCCGCCCTGTACCCTGCCTCTGATTGGCTTTTACTTATTGCCTTCATTAGTTGGGTTGGTTAGATTTATGCAGGAGTGAGATTGGTTAGGGTAAGAGTAATAATATCAGGGTAAACCAATCAGAGGCTGAGGATTATGCCTTTGCCATTAACAGAAATTAAAAAAATCACTTCGCTGCAGGGCTTTACTCATCACTGTACTAAAGCTCTAGTTCATAATCTGTGTAAACACACAACTTTATAAATTGGTTGTAAATGTCACATTTTGTTTCCCAGGAAGAAAAACATTATTGGATTTTAATATAAAAATACAAAGAAATTTACTTTTTGTAGGTTTTTGGCATACATACAAGTATTTGAATAATTAATTAGGATACAAAGAAGGTAACTGTAGACAAATCCATTATAGTTACAGGAAAAAAATCTATAATCTGTAATCAGATTACAGTTCTGTTGAATAAAAATAAGGATTATTTAGCAGTATTACAATTTTACACTAGTTTTTCTTTAAAAATATACTTAGCACAGGACACATTTTTGATTCTCCATTTTCTTTTTAAAGGTTACATTGTTCTGTTACATTAGTCATCGAATCAGATTACATTTTTAAATTACCCTTCCTATTCTGAATAAGTGTATGATGTGGCTGCGGATGTAATCTTACAGGGTTGAAAATACTTTTTTCATCTGGACTTTTTAAAATTGTTTATTAAACATTTTAGGCCACCATAACTGTAAACACATTTACTGCTAATGTGGCTAAGTCTCATCAAGTTTAAAAAGAAACCCACAACTCTTGCCTTTATTGACAGGACAGCTGAAGGCGACAGGTCGGACTCGAACCCACAGCCACTGCAGCATGAACTCAACCTTTACACATGTGCGGCAGCTCTACCAGGTGACCACCTAGGACACCCCATTAAGTAATCTTAGGACGGTTTTGTGGACTACGAAAAATATCTTTGGACTCGCAACTCCTGCAGGACACCAGCATTTAGCTACTACTGCTGGTCACGCGTCTCCTTTACCAATTTCAACCGGAAGTGGTCGTTTACCGCCATGTTGTCGCCAGTGTTTCCCACGTTGACTTGAGAAGTTTACTGCTTCACTTGGTAAAGGTAAGTTTTTATCGTAGCTGGCTGCTTTCTTGTGCTGACATGAATATTGTAAGATGGTGTGTTGGTTGTACTGAGTTGGTGTTTGTGTGTTTATCAATAAGCTATGAGACTGAGGCTCTCTTATTTTTCCCCTCAGATGTGCTTGATGTCTTTGTGTTTGCTGGCTGTTTTCCTTTTTAATGCAGCTGTAAATGTATTTACAGGGTTGGCATTGAAATTAAATGTAAATGAACTTCCTGAAGTGTCTGACAGTGACATTATTGTTTGTGTGGTTGGTGTTTGGCGCTTGCATTTTGATGCTTTTGTGTTGCTGATTTACATAGTGGTGAAATATGAACATGTTTGTGTGTGTGTTATGAATCTGCAGGGCTAAACTGGTTTTGTGCATATTTCCCCTCCTTGCTTGTTGTTGCTTGTTGTTTTGAGGGCTCATTGCAAGCCAGGTCTGTTGTAGAAAAAAAAAAA